CCACTAATAAATGTTAAGCATTGGTTATCGTTCATATCCAAATGCCTTGCTGCTCCTCGGTTTCTCTTTCTTTTTTTCTCTTCAGAATCTTGCTCTGAGGGTGAAGCTAGGCAATTTCTGACATCTGAAACAAGCTCGACGAACGCGCTTTCTCAAGGTCATAGTTCAAACCAGGCGCTCCACGAGCCTACTTTATAACAATTATAAACTTAAAAAGCTGCATTACATAAATACTAAGCACGATCGAAACCCTGATACACTTCTTATCGAGATTGGATCTGGTAGACGCCATGCCCCTTTGGAAACTATTCTTATGAAAACACATTATTTCTAAACGAATGAACTGCTATCAAGTTTTATAGATTATGATTACTAAATAACCTTGCTTGGGATGCATACTGTGAACCAGTATATGTTGTAAATTGTAGATCATGCCCGTAAAAATGGCGTGTACCTGCTATTGCAGAAATATATTATTATTATTATTATTATTATTATTATTATTATAGTTAGTCCCCAGTGCTACTATACACTGTTGATGTAACGATCTGGAGAGAAATAACAAGCGATACAGATGCGTGAGCACTTCAGACAGACTTGGATGTTCCAATTAGCTGGTCTGAGAAATGACTGATGCATGTCAACGCGGACAGTGTGTTTACATGTACTTTGGGGATACAAATGTAAATACGTACAACATATCGGAGGTGCCTGTACCCATGGTCCGGTCTCACAGTGACCTTGTGACGTCAGCGAGTCATGATCTTAAGACCACGGCACACTGTCGGGGGGTCACAGCTAAGGGGTTTAGAACCATATGGGCTTCAAGACGAACATTCACCAAGTTAGATACCAATCTGTTCACTATACTATACACAACCTTAGTGGGAAATAAACTTGAAAAATGCCTTCATGCTGCAAGTCAATGTTTAAAATGTTACTCGGACATCCTTGAAAATTACAGATGGCCTCTACCCATGCATTTCCAGAACTACGGGTTTACCATTTAAGGAGAGGCTTGAAAAGTTAGACCTTTTTACTCTGTCCTACAGCAGATTAGAAGATAATTTGATTTTGATGTAAAGAATACTAAGGAGTGGTTTTGAAACTGATATATCCTCTCTTTTACTTCCCTTCAGATCGGGATATCTCACACCTGAATTCTGAATCTGATTCTGGAGGGAGTTTGGTCTCAAGGTTACTCTCCTAAGGTAATCTCGTAGGGAGTTTTACGCATTTTGATACCCCGAAGCTAACTCAGCCTGTCAATTTTTCCGCAAAATTAACATTGATTTGTTCTTTTCCCTAAATTGGCGTCGATTCGTCCACTTTCCTATAAAATTTACTCCAAACTGTCAAGTCTTTCGCAACATTAACAAGTGGAATAGCTAATTTTTATCTGAACTTAGTGCACTGGTATACTATATGCTTCGGAGGTTTGCTTTTACTTCCCCATGTCGAACCAATCGTATGCTTGCTCGATAACAATCAACACAGTAGTTTAAATGAGAACGATTTATTGATTTTTGCACATGCAGTTGTCAGGATCATCCACATAGACGGAAAAGTGAAACATCCACATTAAAAATTGACAGAAAGTTGTCTACAGTCACAATCTAAAGAAAGTTAGTGATAGGTTTACGTGCATATACGAAGAAAGCTGTTTAATTCAAACGAGCTTCTCATGCACATTAACGTTTACCTTCTGCGTGTATTTAGTTTCAGTGTACTTGGTCAAATTGAGAAATTCAGTGTGAGCCTAAAAATACTTTTGTAACGGAAAGTACTTACACTAAGGGTTACCTGCACAATAACAGGGTTTTCAGGGAAAAACAGAATTTTCATCACTTGAATTATAAAACAGAACAGCAGTTGACAGTTATCGATGTTTTTATAGAATGCTTTTTAAACATTCGTTACCAGATACCCTGAAACTTACAGTTATCTTGTAAAGGACAGATGAAGGCGTCCAAAAACGAAAAGATGTTCAAATACAAAATCGCACTTAATATTTCCTTCAATAGTAACGCATATCCATTTTATCTCACATAAAATACACCCTTGGGTAGCCATGTCTTGCGTTTTTGCAAGATCTTTCTATCCGACGTCGAAAAATGGAAATCGTAATGTTAATGAACTTTTTTAATAACATAAACTAGAATGGAAACTTCGTGTATTGTTACGTAATTTGTACTTCATAATACTCCGTTTTGTAGTAGTACCCATCAATGTGAAGTTCGTTACTAATTCTTGTTTCGTTAGGTGTAACGCACCTAAAGGTTGCAGATCGTATTTAATTAACAAAGGGAACTGTTAGCTGGCTAATACCCTGCTAAGTTGTTTTGACTGATAATCTGACAATATCCAACTACATTGATGAACGAGTTGATCAACTCTGAAGTCATCTACAAGGAAACAATTAAAGCTTCTAAATAATCAAAGTAGTGAATGGCCGTACATTTTACAGTGGACTAACCGTCGTCCGGATCCCCCTTTTTTACAAACACCATGTCCGCTGAAGCGGTTGGATACATGCATAGTTTTTGATTTACTAGCCACTTGATAGCTACAACTAAAACCTCTCTACTGGCAAAGGCGTTAACAACTGCAAACTTTTTAAGTGTAGACTGAAACATACATAAAAAAGACTTTAGTATCTTAATGCAGAAAGTTGAAGGATGCTAATGGTATATACAAAACTGTGTGTAGCAGGGGAACTGTGACTTCATGGGCTACGACGTTTATAGCTATGCACTTACATGGTGCGTCACTAATGGTTACCCACCTATGCTCATGGCTAACAATTGAGCACATGAATATACCTAAATCATTGGAAGGAAATTGTTCTTTGAGAAGACCGACGGCACCAACGTAAGGAAGAAATCTGATTTGACCGTTTTTGCCCATCTTTGTAATAAGGCTAGGTTCGCTTTGACGATTACTACATTTTCAGGTTTTATTAATGTAAACCTAGTATCCCTACAAGTTATTACCTGTCTTTTTCACGTCATAATTAACTGAAGTTTCGTTATTCATAGCGGGATTGCTGTCTTTCTGTCTGCTAATAACTGGTTTCTCAGTGTACCGCTGAACAGCTTGTTTGGCTGCAATTTATCAGCAACGCACGATCCTTTTGACCTGAAACATATAGGGCTCAAAAGGAAATGCAGAGTATGTGTCTAAAACACTATGTAGGTTGACGTCATCAGCACCACTTATATCCTTTTTATTTTTTTATTAAAACACATAAATATTGGTACAAGGAAGCACCAGATATATATGCGCCACACAAATCTCATTTGATTTGTGTGAGGTCTGTGATACTGCCAAGGTGCCCAAACCAAAACAGGTGGTTTTCTTAGGGGGCCACACCCGGAGCCTTCGACCTAAAGGTCTGATCCACAAGGCAGTAGAGCATCGTGAGGAGATGCAGTCCCATAGTAGCCGATGACCAATGATTGATTCATACGCCATTTGTTCTCTGAGGATACTGGAGCCCATGTGAACCATTGGTTTGGAATCAAGGTTTCCCTACTCCCCTAGGTGAACTTTCTGTGTCCACCGACCCGGTTAAAGCGCCGGACATTCGCTTTTCGTCCTCTCAATTTCGTAAACAATAATTGTGCCATGAGAAGGCAGTGAGTAGGACTTCCCTGGCAGAGGCTATATACGCATGACCATATGAGAGCATTTCGAGAGGGAGAGCTGACTCTCCTCACTCTCGGTCGTACCAGGGCATTTGGGGGCACTTATATCCTACAATGAAATTACTTCTTATCAAACTCAACCGAACTGCTACTTGACTCGGGATGAGATTATAAATAATTTGAAGTAGCTAGCTATAGAGAATTTAGATAAGGCGGCAAGGTAGAACATTTTTTAGTGTAGTTTGATCTAACTACAAAAGTAATAGACAATATCCTCTTGCTTTCCAAACACATACATCATTCTAATGTACGACATTTCCTCTAAAAGTCAGGAGTTTTTTCAGCACACCACAACAGTGATCCACTTATAGTCGTGATAACGGTCTTTTTCATGCTTTTAAGTCTCTTATGTGGTCAATCGAGCCATAAAGTTATCGGCTTTTTGACGACACCTGAGCATACTAAATGCATAACATCTGCAGGAAAGGCGTTTAACATGTTTAAAATTCCACGATAGTGAGTTGCTTGGCTCTGTTGCAAAAACTTTACTGTTATTACTTTCTGTTTTTCAGGTTATCCATTTTCTTTTGAAATGATATCACTACTATTTACGGATTACCCATCTGTCATTTACACCCGTAAATTTTGTACGATAACCACTTCCAATTCATAAGAAAATATTATTAAAGAACGAGTATTTGACTAAATGGTATGTCATATTTGATGTAAAACTGAAAAATCAAAATAATGTAAAACATAAGCATTTGATAAATTGAATAATTATGAGAGACATTGGCATACAGTTGTCTGTCGTATGTGTGCACAGATTTCTGTTTGCTAACCTGACATGGTGCAGTATTGTTGCAGTTTGTAACTTCCGAGCATATTTGCAAAATACTATAATATTGGTGTCACTTAATCATCCATTAATCTACAAGCTTGAATTTAGTGCACTATGCCGGTATTTTGTAACACCATATAATGACATGAGAAATTCAAAAGACTGCGATTGATGAAACGAGGAATTTGTGCAGATTGTTATTGATATCACCTGTCATTTCAAACTGCTCATCTCATACATGATTCCTCCTAGACATCACAATTCAATGGATACATATAAACCTTTAAGGAGTTCTTTATTATGGTAAACGATGTTGGACATTTTGCGGTCTATGAGCTGGATGGTCTGGTTGTGATGCTTCGATTGTTCCTTTTAAAAACATCAGCACACACTTCAAAGAGAATGAAATGGCTAGAATTTCCCCTGGTATGGCTGAGGGTGGGGAGAGTCAGTTCTCCCTCTCCAAATGCTCTCACACGGCCACGCGTACACAGCCCCTGCCAGGGAAGTCCTACTCACTGCCTTCTCGTGGTGAGAGTGTTGCTTACGAAATTGAAAGGACGAAAAGCGAATGTAACCGGGCCGGTGGACACAGTGAGTCCTCCTAGGGGAGTTGGAAAAGCCTGATTCCAAACCAATAGTGCACATGGGCTCCAGTATCCTCAGAGAACAAATGACGTATGAATCAATCATTGGTCGCCGGCTGCCATGGGACTGAATCTCCTCACGATGCTCCACTGCCTTGTGGATCAGACCTTTAGGTCGAAGGCTCCGGGTGTGGCCCCCTATGAAAACCACCTGCTTCGATCTGGGTTCCTGTGCAGTATCACAGGTCACACACAAATAAAATGAAATGACGATATTTACTGAAAGTATTATTCACGCTTCGATTAAAATTCAAAAAATTTACATTATTGTTATTTTTCCGTCGCTTATTCACTCTTTTTTATTCCCACTTCGTGTATCCTTATTTTTCAACATATACAGCTGCCCTCCTTTGATGGAAACTCTGTTTCATCCAAACGATCTGGAGTCACTGACTGGTCCAAAATCGAATGCTACTACCGAATACGAATACTGAAATAGTTTTTCTGAAACCATGTGCACCATTCAAACTGGTTTTCTTTCAAAGTACGCACACTAATGCAGATCGGACGACAGACAGGGCTGGCTGTACCTTTGTAAAGTCTAAATATAGACGTTTGTTTATCCGAGACCCATATATAAGACTCTGGTGAAGTACTACAAATTCGCTCTCCATTTATGCTGCGAAAGGCTTGTCTTACGTGCTTTTATCTGGGGACACTGTGTCATCTTCGTCTGGTCTTGCTGGCGTTGGTGTCGCACTAAGCTCTAGAGCTGAAGCAGCACCAATCGATTGGATTACCATTAACAGTCGGTTATGTGCTGTTAGATTAGAAAGCTCCATCAAAGTGAGAAGAAATCGGCGTGAGAAACGATGTCTTTTTGTCATCTCCACCTATGCTCCGACAAATTGCAGCCCGGATGCAATCAAAGATGAGTTTCGCCACCAGCTAACAGTTATTCTACAGAAAATGCCTTCGACAGATATTGTAGTACCAACCGGAGACTTGAATGCATAGGTCGGGCGTCTAGGCACAGAAGAAAGTCATTTAGGTGGCCGATGGGGACTTGTTGGTCGCAGGACAGTTGACGTGAACCGTCTACTACAACTGTGCATAGACCACAACCTGTTTCTTGCTATCACCAACTTCCGGCACAGTCATCGCCGATGTGCCACCTGGCGTCCTACCTCTGCATCTCAAGCCTGGGCTCAGATTGATCACATCACGATCAGCTACCGCTGGCGTGGTTGTGTACAAGACTGCCGCTCCCTTTGGAGTACCTATCTGGACTCTGACCATGCTCTAGTCTGCGCCAATCTTACCTTACTTATCAGTGGCCAACGAACTGATCGTCATCAACGGATTGATGTTAGCAAATTATTTGCAACTTCTGTTGCAGGTAAGTATCGAACCGAGCTAGCTTCTAGACTAGCTACCATCCCACTGAACAGTATAGATGAGCATTGGTTGCATCTTCATGGCGCCATGAAAATGGCGAATAAAGCCGCTTGCGGCTTCGCGAAAAGTCCCGCTTACAAGCACTGGGTTTCTTATGGCTCCTTACAACTGATGGAAGCCCGTCGGTCTACTCCGGGTGATCGTGAGTTTGACCATAGACGAAGGCTGTTACGTAATGAAATTGGGCAAAGCTTGCGTAAGGACCAAGAAGCCTGGTGGTCGAAGCGTGCTAATGAGATGGGAGCAGCAGCTGCATCTGGTAACTGCCGGAAGCTCTTTTAACTCATCCGAGCCACTGGCAGCAGAAGTCTGATGTGAGTGAAACAATCTGTGAGGATGACGGGATACCAATCACTAAAGATGGTGGTGACTTTCTGGCTACGGAACTGACTGATTTGTTTACAAATGTCTGAGAGCTAGAGAGTGTTCCAAGATCGTGGAATAAGTCGGTAGTTGTCCCTATTTTTTTAAAAAGCGTTCACGTCGTTCCTGTAACAACTATCGGGGGATAAGTCTACTTCCGATTGTGTCCAAACTATTGGCTTCTGTCATAATTCGTTGGTTGTTCAAAACCCGAGAACGATTGACTCGCCAGAAGCAGGCTGGTTTTCGTTCTGGTCGAGGATGTATTGATCATATCTTCACTTTTCACCAAATGTGAGGACACCGTCATACTTATTACAGGCCAACAATCGCAGTGTTTCTTGATATCAGGACTGCATTCAATTCATTGGACTGGATTGTTCTCTGAGATTGTCTATTGAAGAGGAGTGTGTCTGAGAAATCTATTCACATCTTAGAAGCCCTATATACAAACCCTAGGCAGAGTGAAGGCACACAACCACCTCTCCCCATTGTTTCGTTCAAGCAATGGGGTTAGACAGGGTTTCCCAATCTCACCATTCCTCTCCAACTTGCTATCAATGACGTACTGGAAACAGCTCTGTTGGATGTAGGTAATGGTGGTATGGATCTGTTGCTTGGAGGAAAGACTTCTCGACCTTGAGTATGCGGATGATATTGTCTTATTGCACGATGATGCCCAAGGTCTGCAATCCGCACTTACTCAGTTGGCAATCAGTGTCCGTAGGTATGGTATGTGCTTTGCACCTTCAAAGTGCCAAGTACTTTTACAAGACTGACAGGACCCTGATGTTGTGAATTTATATGACCAATTTATATAAGACGTTACTCATTTGATCTATATATAGGAATAGACAATCATGTCATTTTTTTTATATTGGTTATTTTGTATTCATTTGTATGAATACGTAGTAACTTGTATATGTATATCCTTTCATTTGCACATGACTTGTATGTGTTTGAATATCTCATTGAATAATATCCCGGATTCATTAATTCGGAACGCATGCCTAATTTCACTTCCTATTCCTTCTATTCCAATGCATTTCTAAATAATACCTATTCTAATTCAATCCATTACTGTTCTTCCTGGGTGTTTGTCTAGCTGTCAGAAAACAAGTTTAATATTATTTCAGTTGCTTTTTCGTTGTGTTAATATTACTATGAATATTTTTGGGGTATGAGCGCGACTGTTAGTTCATATTCGTACGAATAGTACAAATAGCCAGTCAATTATGTAATGACTTTCGAATAACATTCACATACCTGGGAAGCATCGTTGATAAACAAGGAGGATCGGATGCAGATGTAAAGGCAAGGATTGGCAAAGCAAGGGCAGCATTTCTACAATTGAAGGACATATGAAACTCAAAACAACTCTCAACTAATTTCAGAGTGAGAATCTTCAATACGAACCTCAAGACAGTCCTACTGTATGGAGCTGAAACGTGGAGAACTACTACATCCATCGTCAAGAAGATACAAGTATTTATAAACAGTTGTTTACGCAAAATACTCAGCATTCACTGGCCGGATACTATGAGCAACAGCGTTTTATGGGAGAGGACAAACCAGTTTCCAGCTGAAGAGGAAATTAGAAAAGGACGTTGGAAGTGGATGGGAGATACATTGAGGAAATCACCAAACTGCATCACGAGGTAAGCGCTAACTTGGAATGGTGAAGGGAAGCGGAAAAGAAGGAGGCCGAAGAACACAATACTTTGGGAAATAGAAGCAGATATGAAAAAGGATGAATGTTAACTGGAAAGAACTGGAAAGGAAGGCTCAGGACAGAGTTGGATGGAGAATGCTGGTGAGCGGCCTATGCTCCTCGACGAGGGGTAACAGGAGTAAGTAAGTAAGTAAGTTTCGAATAACTAAACTGAAACTATTAGATTTTATACCTAACAACTGGGTTACTTCTCAACCTTATCAACAGTTTCAGTGTTACTTAAGATTAGAAAACCTTAATTCTACTGTTTATTATCACATAACTGTATATTATTTTGGTCCCTACAATCAACTGAAAGCGATTCCTATTCGAATCTCACAAATGGATAATATGATGTAATTTTTGGAATATTTTAGTTAGATTAATCATAGAGAATTATTTTTTGATAAAGGGTTGTTAGGTTAATTGTTAACTTCCACCCTTTTGGTTAGTTCAACGAAAATTAACTGCATAGATTTCCGGAAACTGACTTTTTTCTCTCTCTTAAGTTTTAATATCTGATTTTTTTTACCTTATAGTTGCTTACAACGAGAATACCGAGTCAAATAATCTTATCATTGGGTTGTTTCTTTCTAGTTCACCATATTTTTGTACATTCATTATCTGACGTCGTTCAAAATGTCGATGTAAATGGTTCTCATCCATCTGTATCATTATTATCAGCTTCCAACTTATCCTCACCTAAAAATGAGCCGAGTGCAAATCAAACCACACAGGCTAAATGGCAGTATTTATGTCCATATATGAAGTACAAATGTAGTGAGTTACCAGGTTATTGTCTTATATGCAACTTCAATACTTCATGTGTTTATGGTACGGTAGTCAATGTTACTTGCTTTCCTCGTCCAGGAGTTTATTGCAAAGTTCCAAGTGGTATAGCTCAAGAAAACCAAACTTCTCAAACGAATTCATCAGAGTTTTCTTATCCTATGAGTGATCAAACAAATTACATAATTCAAAAACCGATTGTGTGTCGATTTTGCCACCAGTTGGATGATACTGAGATTGTTTGTATCGGTCGAACTAACTGTCGTCAACCTAATGTACCTCGGAGCTTTTATGAAACGAAATGTGAACCATTTCCTCATATATTATGCCTAGGACGCAGAGTATTCAGGCGTATGGTACCTTGTGATTGGTCTTCTGGTAAAAGTTATGTACTAACTGTTATCTTAAGTTTATTTTTCGGAGGTTTAGGAGTTGATCGTTTTTATTTAGGCATGTGGATAGAAGGATTAGGCAAATTGTTCAGCTTCGGTGGTCTTGGTTTATGGAGTATTGTTGACTTTATCTTAATTGTATCCGGATATGTAAAGCCTCCTGGAGATGCTGTATACTGGTGATATAATATGAAGCAATAGGGAAATAACTCACCCATATAATTCAAGCTAATTTATTATTTTTACTATCTTCAATAAGTTCAACAACTATTTCGTGCTTTAATTCTTCCTGTCTTCAATATATAGTTATGTCCTCCAAGAGTTAGTTTCTAGTACTTGAACATATATTGATAACTTTTATATTTTTTTTATGTATTTATTGTTGGTTCTTCTGGAAATGTAATCTTCAATCGTCTTTTTTTTTCTGCAAATATTCATCGTTATCCTAATAATTTTCATTTGAATCAGATGGTATTGTTTGTCAGTAGTTTGGAATTAAAATTTTTTTTGTCTTTATTGGTATTAATTCAATTAACACTGTTCGATTTAGTGATAAACAGATTATCTATCAATATTATAATATTATATCTATATAACATTATTATTGACAGTTCAATTAACACTAGTCATCAATTGGTTACTTAATATAAATTTCGTTTAATTATTGTTCCAAAGATTCCTTCTGTATCGTTGTACTCTAGGTGTTGCGTTTTAAAAAAAATGCTCTAACAAATTAAACTTACAAAATCATTATAGGGGATTCAATACATAATTGTCTTTGTGTCTCAAACCTTTTACTTTTTGTCTACTTATCGTGCTAGGGAGACGTAAAACAAACATAATATAATACTGCCAAGTCAAGGTTCCAATAGATTGCAATCTGCTATACCTCTTAAGTGATAATAAGCGGTTGTTCGAAGTATCTTTCTCACGATTAGTTCCCATCAGTGCGTAATTTTATTGAGTAAGAGTCGTTTCGTAAGTTTTTTGGCCACTGCTTTTCTCGATAGATATAAACCTTAACGGTCTATGAAATTATTCTGTGCATCAATATATTTTTTCTTACTTCATGACCACGAAGTATTATGTATATCGAATTCAGAAATCGGGTCATACGTTTTCTAAATATTTCTCGCCTGTAATGGAGTGACCGAACAAACTATTGATTTCAGGCACGGATAGCCAGGTATGATACTATGGAATTTATTCAAATGATGTGGTTGGTGCGTCCGTTTACTATGGCACTCAGCTAAATTTATCAGCATTTAAATTTAATGTTCAATTATCATATTGTTGATCAAGATATAGATAAATTCCGTAAGCGAAGATAACTTACCCACTCATTGGTGTTAATTATTCAGTATCTGGAAACCTAAGTGCTAATGATTTAAGTAGAACCGATTAACAATAGAGTTTGTAGCTTTATTTAGTTAGTATTTTATGGAAATTGCTTATGTCAACGTAAAAGCTAGTTCCGTACGATTAACGTAAACTTACCCTTTCAAAGTGTAGTTAATAAGACAAATATAATTTATATATAGAAGAAAAATGTAATCCTCTTCGAAAAAGATTGATTTATGCACTTTTGATAAACAATTGTTCTTGAATGTGTATTTCGATTCAAAATGATTTCAGTGTTGTCATTTTCTCCGAGGTAGATCGTTCAGTCATGAAACTTTCATTAATTTTTTTCATAGTTAACCGAATGCGGCAAACTTTTTAAGTAAATATGGATTAAAATCAAAGTAACAAAACGAGATACGTGCATCGAGTGATGTAATGTATACTGAATATTGATATAAATATTACAAAATAACTGTCAACCTCACACGATTTTGATCATTCCATAGAAAAAATTTGTCATAAAATAATAAATCCTGCACATTCACAAAAATTGTTTATTATTTTTTTATTATCAAAAGGGGTTTTGTGGAGATTTAGTATTTTCATAGTTGAAAGCGTGAGTCAATTGAGGCTAGACCACCAGGGAAAACCTGGAAACACTGGACGGCCATTTCGTCTTATTGTGGGACTCCTCAGCGGTGCGCATCCACGACCTCGCCTCGCGAGATCCGAACCCAGGACCAACAAGTCTCGCGCCAGAGCACTTAACCGGTTGCTGGGAGTTCTAGCCATTCTTTTTTTATATATAGAAGATTGAAATTCCTAATTTCGTTATTTTATACAATGTCTAGAAACATTCTCGTAATATAGCCAATATTGTCAGAATTTAGTTTCCACTCCCTTTTCTATAAACAAGTTAGATCTCATTAACTAAAGGTTTTGACATCACAAGTACAATAAAAGCTTAGTGACATATTAATAAAAATCTCATTAAAAAAGAATTCAAAATCTCATCACTGAAATTGCTGTGTTAAGTTAGTTTATTTGTTAGTTCGTGAAAATGGCTCATCTTGTTGCAGCAGGGCTATAAAAAGGAACTCCTTTCTGGATTTTCTATATAATTTTGCACGCTACTTACAATTTTTAAGTAGCTACATTCTGCAGTGAAATATTAATCGTAAGTCATCTTACGTATTGATTATTCTGAGTGATTGTATTCATCAAAGTGGATATACGTACCCTGGATATTGAGTTACTATATCGCCAATTTTATTCCCTTAGTCGGATTAATCCAACAATCGAGTCCAACGAATGTTTTCAAATACGAGGACATTTAACGAATATTTAATTGTCAATTTGCATTCTCTAATATAAGACTTTATCTGTTTATATTCTACTAACAATGACTATACTAAAGCTTCTTTTACACTTCTGCCTAAGTGAGAAGCCTAGTGTTAAGCGAGTCACTCTTTGATTTGTCTACCAAGATATTTATTTTATATTCATATAAATGGTTCAACTCACTCTTAGGAATATATCCATGTACGAATACCTTATGTTTCCACCAGTAAATGCATATGACAATTGATATGACGGGATAAAAAATGACATTATTTAGGTCGGTCTTTTTTGTATCAATCCATTATGAATTTTGGCCAGAGCAACAGGTGTAAACTTAATCCAATGTGACGTTTTGAGGTCAACATTTTTATATCAATTCATTATAAACTTAGTTCAATATAACAAATTTGAAAACACATTCAGCGATGATTTTATTCGTTGTATCATTTCAGGTGAACTGTATTCACCTGTATATTCCTATATGTGCTATATAACGTTTGCTTAGAAATCAGTGTATAAATGATTATATTCTAATCTAATGACGATATGATTTGTAACGTGTTTTTGGAGGACCAATAAATCTTCATTTCATCAGTTTTTCGTGTTTTCACTTTGCGTCGTGGGAATCACAGTGATTCCGGATTGCTAAACGTGAGCAGTAAGACCGTGGACCAAACAGAGTCGATACGTACACTAACAGTGACGACACCTCCAGACGTAAAAGAAGGTTGATGGAGACCCGAATATAACAACAATGTTAAAATTGGTGATGGCAATCATTATCTTTATATATAAATTAAGTATAATGGCTTGTACAAAATACGACACACATAAGTTCCTTACACTGATATTGTATATCAATGTTTAATGTTTATCCAGTTTGTTACGTATTCTTATTCTCGAACGAAATTTATCTCAACTGAATAATACTTAACTATCCAAAGTAAATTACATCTGATTTATCATCCAGAAGCAACTTTTGTTCAAGTTCTTCTAATCAATAACTGGTATGGCAGTTAGTCCTACTACTTCAATTTGTAACCACTGTCATATCAATCGATCGTTCTGTATCTCTTCAGATTACAAGACAAATATCCATAAGTTCTCATCTTATTCAGATACTATAACTGATAGTATTAATTTTAGAGTTAGTTACATCTTTTAATCACTTCCACTACAAATATCTTTTTTCGTCATCAAATTATTTGTTAAGGCTTATATAGCAGTATTATTCATCATGATGCAAAATTATCTTATTGATTATTCTCCAGAACTTTCCTTCTATCTCATCTCTCGTATGAATATTGTTCAGTCTGTTGCTTCCCCTTAGCATAGCACATAGTTGGCTAAAATCCCTTTAGATTTACGCTGTAAACTGGGACCTGCTATAAAATCATTTACTCTCAAACTATAAAAATCCTATCAAAATGTCCCATAGAGTTGAAATTCTTTGTATTGGATCATTCAAATGTATTTTCGGTCATCTTGAGGTCAACAGTAATTGCAGTGATGGATTTATTATCGTGAAACAAGTTTCCTTAAAAGATTGTATCATTAGTTGTGAATATTTTTATAACCCCACTATCAAATTAATATATATAATATACTAATGTCTTAATCAATTGTTTTGAATACAAAGTAAGTTGAAAACTAACTATAATGAAAGACATTGCTTTAGTAACAACCAGTTTATGCTCCCTTGACCGCTTACTAAAAAATAACTAGTATTTAATTACAGCTCCTAGTTCGAAGTTAATTTCTTTTAGTCAGTCAATATCATGTTTAGTGTAATCTTCTAATTGTCGTTCTTAAAAGTAAACAGTAAAACTAATAAGGTAAATTATCATCAATAGTAGATCATTGATGGCGAGAGGAATTCGACCTACAATGATTAGTTAATTTTGATTAGAGGTTATGGCGAGACTATAATTTATGGACGACCTTTGGATGAATCTTAAGTGACCTTGAGAAATGTTAGCCGATCAGTAAACAGTCAGCATAGAGTAAAAAATATATTATACAAAACCAAATAATTAAAGTAGATGCACTTCTTTTATACGATCGAAAAACTTGTCAAGGTTAAAAAAAACTTTCCAAAATCGTAATGAATAAGGTAGAGGAACTCATCCATATGGCTCCTTAATAGTTGGTCTCTGGAACCATGATAAGGTCACAAAAACCCTCTCAGCCTCGACCACATAGCTTCAATATTGTTTTTGTGTACTCCGGTTGTGTAAGTTTATCATTTTTATTATGGATATGTCCCTACAATACTCATACCACTGAACAGACAAAGCTTCATTAACATCTGCGATCATTGCAACCAATGTTACTGGTGCTTTTATTATACAGTTGGTGGCAATTATTATAATATGCCTTAGTCTCAATCTGGATCGAGCGATAAAGGTTCCTATTCTAGCAAACATCTTTCAGCATATATTATATCGAAGGATAATATCACGGTAGTCTGCACAAGGTCTACAAGTCATTTAATACCCGCAATTTGAAATACAGGAACTGCTTAATAGTCTGATTTATTGTAGCCGCTTAATTGTCTAGTCTTCTCTAAAATTCTCTGTGAACCGATCGTATATGAGCATCAGGTACTGAAATCAGCGCCGTGACATTGAAATCCCTTAAACGCTTCTGATTGGCTCGTCCATAAATTATAGTCTCGTCGAGGTTATTTTTCATACGGATTAGAAGTAAAATTCACCTTCTTACAATAAGATCAACCAATTTCAATAAAACACGGATACTTAGACTAATGAATTGTTCATTAATACTGAAAATAAAATGAAAAAAAAGTAGTGTAACTGTTAAGTTCTTTTTTAGCTGGAATAAATAATATTGATTGGGTAACAAAGATGGGTTTTTTTATAAAAAACAACAACATCTAGTATAAATACATTTAATAAGAATGGTCGAAAATTTGTACAAATAAACTCAGTAACATCAAGAAGGAGAAAAAAAGGATACAGAATAGTTGCTAAGAGAAATATATATTGTTTAAACTTTGAACAGTACACTTTAAATAAATAAATATTCTAATAAATAGAGATAGGGATTATCTTTTGATTCAAATTCAATTACAATCTGCAAAACAAAAAAAAGGTTGGTTAGACATGATCTAAACAGAAAAAAAATTTTATTCTCTGTTTATCCATTGAATTGATCAATAAACAATGTGGTTCATACATAGATGAATTTAAGAATGATGAAATCTTATAAGATTCTCTAATTCAATATAAAGAACTATAAAATACGAGCAAGAATAAAATAAAAATTTTTTAAAAAAGCGCTAATTTTCTTATTCAAAATAAATTCAAAACTAGCAGTATAATTTTGTTGATTCAATTTACATTGTGAAAAAAATGATCAAATGAATCCAATAACTCTGATAACTTGATAAATCTTACTTATTGTGAGTAGTTTTAAAATCTTTATTGGGGGTAAATAAATAAGATAAGATAAGTTTTTTCTGATACAAATTTGGGTTCAAATTATATTAGATCAAATCTAAATTCAAAAAAAAGTATTTCTGATTTGGCCTTGAATAATTTAGTTTGGCAGAACTTTAAAAAGGACACATATTTCTATATTTAATCCAACTTATTATTTATGTACATAGCAGTAAAATATATTTTATTTTTTTTTTGAAAAAAAGGAGATTTCATTGGTAATCAAGAATAAATAATGTGAAAATTTAATTGAACAATAAAATTATTTTTATATAGTTGAGATCATGATTAAATTGAAGCTAGACCATCATGGAAAACCTGGAAGAACTGGACGGCTGTTTCATCCTATTGAGGAGTCCTACAATAAGACGAAACGACCATCCAGTGCTTTCAGATTTTCCATGATGGTCTAGTTTCAATGGACTCATAATTTCAGCGATATAAAAATTACTAAAAATCTCCATAAAATCCGCTTTTGATAATAAAATTGTCTTTCTTTTTTCACCTTTATCCCATTACAAAAACAAAAATACCAACAAAAAAGAAGGAAAAAAAAATCAAATTGAACAATAAAGAAAAAGATGAATCTGTTTTCTTTAGTTTAAAAGTTCATTTTTTTTCATTCAGAAAAACAAATCTAATAGTTTTGATCCGAAGAAAGAAAAAAATTTTATCTATAAGATTTGAATAGTTTTCATTTGAATCTTTTCAGAATCGGAAACTTTCAAGGTAAATGAAACATGACCGAAAAAAAAAACTAAATAAATTATTACTATTCACAATTATATAAAATAGGTTAAATTATTCATTGTTCAATTTTATGTAGTAAATAAAATAATATGTATGGTTGATCAGTTAAAGTAATCGAACAAATTGTAGATCATCAGTAGGTTAATTCATATAGAATATAGATATGCTATTATGATAGATAGACTATATAAACACAACAACAATTATACACTTCGTCGAATGTACAAATCTCATACATACACACACACACACACACCTATAATCATTATTTGTATAAACACATATATAAAATAATCTGAAAGAAGGTTGTAGGTAATTTGAGACAAGTTAACAATAATAAATAATAATTGAAGGTTAAAATTCCATATCCCAACCTGATGTTTCATCAGGTGGGACTTCATTTTGTTGAGGATATTTATCGAAATTAGTTGTATCATCTGGACCAAGTATCTATTGGAAAGAGAAGAGAGAAAATTAAAAAATAATCAATAAAATTCATGTAATTATATTTTCAATAAGTTAAAAAATGTGACCAACTTTTTCAGATTGTTGAATAACTATTATCAAACACTTGTTCCTACCTAAAATAACTATATCTATATATATTTGGTCAGTTGATTAAAGTTTTATCCTCTATAATTTGATCAGTTGGTATTTGTAGATCAGTTCGGAAATTTCAGTTATCTGTAGTTGACAATAAGCTTTGGCGGATATTTAGTGTTTCAATGAAACCAACCCGATAAAAAGAAACAATCAATAAAACCATAAAAGCATACCAAGTTATAAGAATTTTTGAACCCGACTTAAAATATAAACAAAATTAATAATTGTAGTCAATCAGTCGAAAAAAAAACGTAGAACATGATACAAATGTGCATTGAATTAAGCTGTCATGTTTCACATAACTTCAACAAAAATAACCAAGGTGAATAACAAATGAGCGAAATTCTTAAGATCAGTTACAGTGGAAGATTAAATAAATTAAAAAATAATATAGGACAAATTCATTTAGTATTGCTTGTTTGAATCTTCCCATCGATATGTTGGGACTGCAGCTGATCAGTCTCTAATTGGTATATGTGCATACTGTGCGTATTGCCTCGATATAGCCTCAATTCACAAGCATGTTAAGCAGAGATGGATAGTGGCTAGCAGTGGAATCCAGGACGCGCGTTTCGTCCTATTTGCTATCAGCACTCAGTAGCCGAGTGGATAACGCGATGACGTTTGAAGCGAGGGTACTGGGTTCGAGTCCCAGAGTGAACATCAACTCTGAGATGCAGCTACATCCAGCTGACGAGTCCCAAATAGGACGAAACGCGCTTCCTGGATTCCATTGCTAGCCACTATCCATCTCTGCTTAATATAAGACAAATGTAGTATAAAAATAACATTCCGACACTATATTTAAAATTTAGAGTGAGTACTGCTGTTATCAATTTTGAGCTAAAAGGTACAAGATCAGTAACTATAAATTGTATTTATGTCATTCAACTTTAATCAAGAATTTCGCAATTCCAATAATCAATCAAATCTAATCACATAAGCTAGAATAGTAATGCTTCTAGTCCTGATAGAATGAAATCAGATTAAAGAATTTGTGACATACATTAATCTCATTGATTTTGAAAGTAAATGTGATTCATTCGTCAATTGTTGCTTTGTGTACTTGGTTCGAAGTTCAACTTCAGGTGTGATGACTGATTATGGAGCAAAGTTTAAACCTTCAGTCTGCTGGTTGAAAACTAAGTAGTTTTCATTAAGCTCCCGTTTTCAATTTATCCTGAGTAGCTTCGAATATTTCATACATACTAACATTAATAATGAGTGGAGACAACTTACAATAGGTTGTATAGGAGCTGCTAATGTACCACGATGCAAACCGATCCAGTCAAATCCTTGGAAATATCTAAATTTATTAGTCAAAAAATATAAAAGATTTAAATAGTTTTCACACTTAACAAATGATTCTAGACAACATATAGCTAGATATTTGTTACACCCGCTCATGTTTATGATAACAGTTTTCAAACTGATTGTTCAAAGTATAAAGAAACGCTCAAATCTGTCATCTGTGAGTAAGAGATAAAATTATGTGATTACCAACCACCACCTAATTTGATGAGCGATGCTTATTAGTGCAGAAAGTGGAAGAAAGCTGTGGACGATCAAAACAAAATGTGTGGTCAGTCTATCAAGCCATTGTTTGTTTTTCTTAGCCATGTTGGTAGATTCAAAGTACTTTGTTGGGGTCTATGAGACAACGCCATCAGTGAATGGAGACTTTAAGTGACAAGGTTCAGAAGCGTTCATATTAGCTCAGATATATTCACTTTTTATCTTCCACTCTATCTTAAATCCCGGTATCCATTCATACAGACTTTTCCACTCTATCTTTTCGAAGCATGTTCCCAAGGTTTAGTTTTCTTTTTTTATCATTGCTACTACAATACTTTGACCTTGTTAGTTATTTTCATTTCATTGTGAAAATCAGATATAACAACTTGAAGCAACGCACACTTGTTTCCGGCTCTATATTGATGATGTCTGTCTATTTATGTCTCATATGATCCTAAAATTATTATTTATTGTTTCCTTGTCTTTATTTATAAACACGAAAACATTTCAGTAACAATCTGTAAAGTAGTAGAGTTCATAAAAACCATTTTTGGTGAGCAATCCACACTGTTTACAGACATAACACTAATCACCAGCTTTTTTATATTTAGCCTAGCAAAATAAAATGGATGTAATGAGAGCATGAGAGAAAAAAGTTTATTGTTATTCGAGCATCCGATTCAATCAACTTTTATCATTTTCATTAAGGTTTAAAAACAAAATTTACAAAAATTCAAATGAATGATATAAGACTTTAAGAATGATAAAACGGGAGAAGGAAAATATTTTCTGTTTTCTACGTTATACTGCTAAAATACGATAATACGGCCGGTGATCAGGATTATATGACCACTCCATCTGTAGCTCTCTTAGGGTTACTGTCGGTCCCAAGTCAAAGCAAACGAGGAGGGTTGGGAATGGTGTCAACAACCCTATCCCGTAAAAACCAACGTTGTTAAATAAACGCCAACTAGAATAAGAGATTTAAACTCTGCCTTCCAGGTTGAGGGATCTTCATTCACAAGAATTATGACGCCGAATTGTAAAATCCAAGATTATTCGAAAATCTTGAGGCCAACGTCCCTTCTAGAATCCAGAGCAACAATTAACATAGGAGTATGGAATGTTCGGACAATGTGAGAGACCGGGAGGATCAATCAAATAGCTATGGAAATGAGGAGATAAAACATGGCGGTGCTCGGAATAGGCGAAACATATTAGACGGAAGCTAGACAGAAAAAGTCAGATTCCAGAAAGATGTTGCTGTACTCTGGTAACAAAGTAGAAAATGCTTCAAACACTTAGGGTGTTGCTCTAATGCTGTCCAAAGGAGTACGTTAAGCACCTATAGAACGGAAATCTCATGGACCCAGGATCATCGAAGCATCCTTCAGAACAAAGAAGTAGGGAATCACAATGAATAATATCCAGTGTTGTGAACCTACAAATGATAGCAATGAAGACGATAAAGATCAGTTTTATGAGAGGCTGCAATAGATCATGGTGAAGTGATCAGGAAAGGATTGACCATCTTGATAGGAGACCGAAACACCAATTTTGAGATGGACAATTCTGGGGTAAGAAGATCTTCATATCTAAGAGGAAGCACAGAATACAATGGACAGCTTGTATGCAACTAGGCGATTTGGACTTCGCAGATGACCTAGCACTTCTATCCGATACACACGAACAAATGCAGGTCAAGACAACTAGTGTAGCAGCAGCAGTCCCTGAATCCGTAAACCTCGACATACACAAGAGAAAAACCAAGAACCTAATACACAATATGGAGAACATCAATCCAAGAAGCTCTGAAAGATGTGGAATCTCTCATGTATTTGGACAGCATCATCGATGAACAAGGAGAATCTGATGCACATGTGGATGTGAGGATTGGCAAAGCAAGGGTGACATTCAAACGGCAAAGGTACTTATTAACAATTGTCTACATAAGATAGTCATTGTTCGTTGACCGGACACCATTAGCAACAACCTACTGTGAGAGAGAACAAATCAGATTCCACTTGAAGAGAAAATTAAGAAAAGATGTTAGAGATGGATACGACATACATTGTGGAAATCATCAATGTGCATCACGAGACATGTCTCAACTTGGAATTGTGAAGGGAAACGAAAAAGAGGAAGGCCAAAGAACATACTGCGTCGAGAATTGGAAGCAGACATGAAAAGAATGAATAGCAAGTGGAAAGCATTGTCCAAGACAGAGTCGAATGAAGGATGTTTGTGGTCGGCTTATACTTTTCCAATAGGGATAACAGGCGTAAGTAAGACTGAATGTTCGTTTGATACTCTACACCCAGACTTCGATCACCTTATGCGAGACACATGATTCACTACCAGATAAAGGCAATCAAAATTAGGGCTAGGCAATAATTTATTCAACACAATTACAGACATTTTACACCCAATGGGTTCGAAGTAGATATTAATAGTGGGAAAGGAAATTACACATTTAATAGTCAACAAGCTAAGTGGTTGTTTGCCCACATTCAAGTGACCATTTATATTATAACTTCCACTACCATACATCAAAGATCTGCTTAAATTTAATGTTAAACGTTGACAGTTTGTTTCATTATTTCAGTGTCATTATAAATTAATCTTGTATGTAACTATTGTAAAATCATTCATAGTTCTAAAAGAAATATATATTTTGATTTTTAAGTATCGAAATTTGCTCTGTAGACGTTGACTCACTTTGCCGACTAGATTCATATGGTTTTAACGTTTTGATTCAAGATGACCATTTCTTTTCTTTCGATTAAATATTCAATATGTAATGACGTACTATCATCATTAACCTACTATTAATCAATATTAGATGTAGTATGAATAGCATTGTACTCTTATATTATGATGTAATAAAGCGGGAGAAAATTGGAGTTAACTTATTTTTCCACTTATATTGTCTTTTATCTAGTTTATCAATTTCCAACAGTCTAAAACTTTTTTAAACCGATATTAGACAAGACCGATATCAAAGAAACTTACTTTAATACTTTAATATCACAATTCATAGATAAATAATGGACGAAATACATTTAGAGACTGACCAGTTGCAGTCCTAACAAATCGATGGGAAGATTCAAACAAACAATACTAAGTTGAATTTGTTTCAATTGTTTCTCATAGTTCTTACACATTAGTCGACTATGAGATAAAATATCCACTATCTAATTGACTGATACTTTCTAATAGTTCATTAAACTGATCATTTTGATCTAACAGCTAGGGATCATTAATGCGACAGTGATTTTTTTGGTTTATGTATCCTCAAGTTATTATTATTATTATTTAAACATATAAAAAATGGTATAAGGAAGCGACAAATATATATGCGTTACACAAATCATTATATTTGTGTAAAGGTTGGAATACTGTTTGAGCGCCCACATGGAAGTAAGTGCTTTTCTTAGGGTGCTACACCCCGAGCCTTTAACCTAAAGGTCTAATCCACAAGACAATGGAGGAATTTTACTAGATGCAATCCCATGTTAGCTGGTAAACAATAATGGGTTCATATACCATTTGTGTTATATCCTAGCGAAGACATGAGTACGGGTAACTTCCGGGACCTATTATTGGACGATTATTCTATATGTATTCTTAATGTTTAACTATTGAGTGATTAGGTTAGCTGTATCTATATTCATCTTATTACAAGCTTCATTTTGACCTATGGATTATTATTATATGAATTACTGTTTATTGATCACTGTATCCCATGTTCACAGCCACATTTGGCTTGATCTTGTACAAATATTATTTTCTATTTTATAGTGTGATGCGGTCTATCTGTCTGGTATATAAACCGAGTATGCTTGAAATAAATGAATCGCATAGCTGAAGCTGCAATTGGTGTTCTGGACTTAATTGTAAGGGCTATGCGGACAAGGGACCAATAAGGACGCTACTGTTTATACTGGTCGAACGTCATTGACTGTCACAGTGTTAAGGTCGGAGAAGTCGTATTTCCATTGGTGGATAATTCACATGATAAAAATCCTGACATAAGACCATAAGTCATAACGAATTGGTGACGGCCTTTTATGAAGTCATAACAATTTGTTTCTTCAGGATTCTGGAACCTATATGCACTACTGGTTTGAAATCAGGGTTTTCCAACCCCCATAGGTGGATCCTCCGTATTCGCCAATCCGGTTTAAGCCCCAAACATTCGTTTTTCGTCCTCTCAATTTAGTAAACAACATCCCCTCTGCGAGAAGATAGCGAATAGAACTTCCTTGACAGTGTTTGTATACGTGTGGCCATGTGAGAGCATTTGGAGAGGGAGAACTGACTCTCCCCACCCTTGGCCGTACCCAAGTTAGACTGGTTTGGATCTCATAAACAGATTATTTTACACACAGATTAGCATAAACAACATAGGAATTCGGAATAGATATCCATCAATTAGAATGATCACATTTTACCTTGACACAACCGCTTATGAAAATAAAAACTAGAAGAAACATAATCCACTAAAAATAGTGATACAACATAAAATTAGAGAGAGAGAGAGAGATAGTGATTATCTTGTGAATCGCCTCTCATATCTATCCTCCTTTAATCAGTTTAGTAGTTATTTGGGTCATAAACTCCTGTACTTTATAAATACTATAACATGGTCAATAAGATGATGAATTAGTTATATTGATTTTTAAAACCACTGATACTGTTTTCGACTGCCAATAATAAGAAAAATAAACATTAGTAAACTTTGTTTTCTTTGTATACAAAATTGATAATTCACAACCAATAAGAAGTTTAACAACATATATAATTGACATTTTATTTTAAATATCTGTTAATGACATAGTAACAGAACATATGTGATAGTTTAAGCCTGAATATGATATAATTAAGGTTTATAAATGTGTTCTTTTAACTACCCTAGTTTTGTTTTGTTTTGTATAATCATCTTCGATACAAACATTTACAGAGTATCATTATGTGAATCGTTTTAAATGAAATAATGTGGTCTTACAAAACAGTTTGGATAAGTCGAAGACGATTTTTGTCCTGAATTGATATCATTTAGAAAAAAAACATTGAAGAATTTATGAGGGTGAGTGTTTATAACTTTTTTTAACTTCTGAATGGTGTGTAGTTGCGACATTACATAGTATTAGACATAAGTACTTCAATTATCACAGTCGGTACGATATCCTTGGTTGTAGGTGAAAGGTTTTTGAATATGTCAGCAAGAAATCAAAAGTGATGGAATAACTCAATGATGATAATAGATGAAAATCTTAATACATCAAACATTTATTAATGTCCAAAATTTACTAGCTGCTAAACTTGTTGATTCTGAGTTTAATTTTGCTTGGAGTGAAGTAATAGATGTTCATTACTGAGGATTCTCAAACTAGGAACAACCATTTGTTTACTGTTCCATAGTTTTAAATCCATTAAATAAATCAATATGATATGCTAATAAGGTATAAATTACAACCCTGGAATTAGTCAAATCAATAATCCTAATTAACGTTATAGTTTTCACGATATGAAGTTGGTACAAATGGTAATAGAACAGGAACAGAAATTTCATATATATTATTACTCACTTATTTTGTTTAATATCGATTATTCCCCCTCGTCCATAGCCTAACCGTTCAGCTGGATTCTGTGCACATAAACGTTTAATAAGTGTAGTTGCGGTTCGACTTATATTCATTGGGTCGAATTCAACACAATCTATTCCACGTAGAACAACATTATAAATTTTCATTGGATCAGTACCAGTAAATGGCGGACTGTAAAAGGGATAAAAGATAGAGAGAACATTAAAAATAAAAAGATAACTTGTTAACGATAAGTACAGAATTAATAAACCTTATAAGGGACACAGATAAACATTCGAGAAACAGTTGGCATCAAATTACACAATATGTTCAAAACTTAGAAATTGCAATGCAAAAGTCTTTGTTTTTCTAAAGAATAAAATGTTTCAGTCCTTTGGACTATAGTCCCAGTGAAAAAAACGTTAACCAAAGAGAAAGTAAAGTATAAAATGTAAAATGTTGAAATCTGACTAACTACTAGTCTAAGTTACTCGATATCGCATGCACTACGTTTTAATGTTAAACAATAGGCAGGAAACATTGAAACTAGGTTTTGTGTTAGTTAGCAATCATCAGCAAGGTATATCTGTAATATGGAGGGAACTAAAGCCCAATGTAAGCTTTAATCAGCACCACTTAGCGTCATAATCTGAGACGTTGTGGCTGAGCTATTCGGGCCGAAACTGACCTCCTGTAAGACAAGGATGTTTACAACTAATTCATCACTAAATAGTCGAAATATAAGCAAGGGTGTTTGGCAAATGACTGTAAGGTTGTTTGATCAAAGAAATCAGTATTTGGTCGACATACTATTTATAAAAACTATTCATTCTTTGATTATTTATCAACCTTATACATTTCAAAGATAATTTTTTAACCTGCTTTTAGTTATTTTTACAAAGCAAAAAAGATTTGAAGATTTTTTTCCCACACTTTATTTTAGCTACTCCTTTGAAAAAGATGAAATTGTTAAAGAACAGTCAGAGAAGGAGAATATATATATGATTAAATTATCAATTATCAAAACACAACAAATTGTACAATTGATGGTGACTACTACTGAAAGCAATTTTGAATTCCGAAACTAGAAAAGAAAAGATTACCGATACTTATTTTCACAATTAATTTCTAAAATGAAGTGAAAACGAATTGAGAGTCGTTAAAATCCAGAAGACACTAAATAACTGTCTTTATCTTAATACAGAGGCCTCATTTACAGTGAAAACCTATGATTTCAAAAAAAGGAGCACATGAAGTATACATCTAACAATCTTATAGTTAACGTTTTGAATTTAACATTCAGTTTGCGATTTAACATGCAATATTCGTTAAATGTCGCTATTAAGTTACTGCATCGTTTTCAATGTGTATAACAAGTACAAGTATTCATAAACAATTGTTTACATAAGGTAATCATTTTCCGTTGACCGGACACCATCAGCAACAACCTACTGTGAGAGAGAACAAATCAGATTCCACTTGAAGAGAAAATTAAGAAAAGATGTTGGAGATGGATACGACATACATTGTGGAAATCATCAATGTGCATCACGAGACATGTCTCAACTTGGAATTGTGGAGGGAGACGAAAAAGAGGAAGGCCAAAGAACATACTGCGTCGAGAATTGGAAGCAGACATGAAAAGAATGAATAGCAAGTGGAAAGCATTGTCCAAGACAGAGTCGAATGAAGGATGTTTGTGGTCGGCTTATACTTTTCCAATAGGGATAACAGGCGTAAGTAAGTAGGTAATTTACGCGTTAAACGTCAAAGTTTATTGCTTTTTTGAGATGCTTTTTTCGTATTTTAAAAGTCATCCTCAAATAAGCAACCAATGAAACACTGACAGAACAAAAATTATTTAGATCAATTCACTTACACAACGACTGATAATTCATCAAATAAGTAACCACATAAAAATTAAGTAATAAAAGATATCTTAAATAAAATATACACTCTCAATATCACTTCTTCTATTAAGAATGGATTATCAAAGAAAATGTCTGTTTATCTGCCTATATGCTTAACAAACTTGTCTATTTTTGATAATTTTTCAAAGTTGAAATCATGAGTCAATTGAAGCTAGACCACCATCGAAAACCTGGAAGCACTGGACGGCCGTTTCGTCCTACTATGGGACTCCTCAGCAGTGCGCATCCACGAACCCACTCTCGCGGGATTCGAACCCAGGACCTACCAGTTTCGAGTCGAAGTCCTTAACCGATAGACCACTGAGCTGGCATCGAACGGTGTTTATGTCTAACTTCAACTGATCCACGAAGTTGAGCAACCATTCACCAATTGTCTTCAGTGAGTTCCTATCTCACAACGGACGTGGTTGAACTCCACTGGTCACTGCTTCCCACTAGAACTCCACGACATGTATCTTGAAGTCAGTCACTAGTGAGCATATGATTATATTTAGAAGGGGATTTGTGGAGATTTCAGTATTTTTCAAAGTTGAAATCATGAGTTAATCTATTTTGCAACGATAAAATAGCGTAAATAAATAACAAATCAAGGGACTGGGAAAAATGTGTTTTTCCATACCAGTTGGTATTACATTAGCAAAGCATTAGAAATTTAGGACAATTACAACAATTAGAAATATGTAGTAAGTAGTTCACAGTTATTAAAATCATTAACTTGGTTCAGTCGTACATGTTCAAGTGATAGAGAAGGTATGCAGCTGAGTTAAATGTTGCCAGGTATTCCACTTATGATTAGTGTTATATACTATGTCGACAGACACTATACTATTACCATGTATGATACTATCTTCATTTATTATACCGTAATTTATATGACTTAAGTCATACTATAGGTCCGATGCTTAGTTTTTTTCATTGCCTATACCAATGGTGAACATGTAAAGTCCAATACATAACAATAACTTTTAACCATCTATATTAATAAAATATGTAAATTAACACTAATAAACTATTAATACGTAACAAAAATAAATTTACCTTCCCGTAAGTAATTCGTAAATAAGAATACCTAGTGACCAATAATCTGCTGAATTATCATGTCCTTTATTTAAAATAATTTCCGGTGCAACATATTCAGGTGTACCACAAAATGTCCAAGTCTTTTTACCATGTCCAACTCGTTTGGCGAATCCAAAATCACACTAAAATAATTCATAACATGTACAATTAGTAACGCATATGTATTATACATATATAAAGGGTTTGATTTTCAATATATTTACCTCTGATTTATCCATAGGATGAATGAAAAGATTAACATGTCATAAACTGTATTGTTTCTCTCTGTATTTTCTAGTATTTAGCTTTGGAATAATTTGTAACTCTTTTGTAATAATGCACAAGTGCATGAAGTTAGGATTCATATTTATTAAGTTCAAAAGAAACCAAGATTGATGACTTAACTACAATATTTGTACATTTGAAAGTAGGTCGCTCAAGTATAAACAGGAGCATTTAAATAACTTTACCTTTATTAATGATCAGTGTAAAAGTTTAAATATAATGAAGCTTATTATATCTTTATAAGAAGGGGTTTAGTGGAGATTTTAGTAATTTTATAGAATTGAGATCATGAGTCAATTGAAGCTAGACCACCATGGAAAACCTGGAATCACTGTACGGCCGTTTCGTCTTATTGTGGGGCTCCTCAGCAGTGCTCATCCACGATCCCACCCCGCGAGATTGTAACCCAGGACCTACCAGTCTCTCGCCAGAGTACTTAAACGATAGATCACTGAGCCGTCATCCAACGGTGTTAATGTCTAACTCCAACCAATCCACGAAATTGAGCAACCATTCACCAATTTCATCAGTGAGTTGATATCTCCCAACAGACCTGGTTGAACTCCACTGGTTACTGCTTCTCACTAGAACTTCAGGAAATACTATATTTATCTGTTCACTAACGTGAATTATTCATATTAGACTGAAAAACTAGAATTCAAATAACTACCAGTTTTATTATATGGACAGTATACTTTCAGAATAATATTACTTTTTGATTATATATCATTCGTATTAGCTTTATATATTTTAAAAATTATATATCCAATTAGTGAGTAAGAAGAAACTCTAATGCATATAGAAGCTCATATATTTCGTGGGATATTCAATTTGACATACACTATTTCCATTATCTATAATTTATCAAAAATTTAAAATCTAAATAACTTTTTTTTCCAAAGTACTATTTCAGAATTTCTGAAAGTGGATAGGACATATATTAAGGAAATCACCAATGTGCATTACAAGGAAAGCCCTAATTTGGAATCCGGAAGGGAAACGGAAAAGAGGAAGGCCAACGAACACATTACACCGGGAAATAGAAGCAGGTATGAAAAGGAAAGAACTGGGAAGGATTGCCCAGGACAGAGTTGGATGGAGAATACTGGTGAGCGGCCTATGCTCTTACACGAGGGGTACCAGACGTAAGTAAGTATCTCAGAATTTCAGTAAAAATATCAGTATCTTCTAAGATCAGTGTAATGTGTTAAATTGTAAAAACAAAATGCAAACTATTCACAACTACTTCATTTTTACAACATAGTTTGATATAACTTGAATAAATTAGTTGAAAAAAATTATAAAACTCATTATTTATGTATTCAGTCAGTCAGTCAGCTACAACGTGGGACCAGGCACACATATGCATCGGTCCAAGTTTCCATACATACATACTACATTATATGATTGGTCATTTTATTGTACTATCCAATAGGCTTTTGTGAAATATTAAGAAAGGAATCGATAAATTTTTAATTTCTATGGGTATATGATTTACTTATTGCACAAGCTAGTGACTATCAGGACTCAGTAGATAAGTGAATAATGCGATGGCGTTTAAAGCGAACAATACAGGTTTGGAGTCCCAGAGTAAAAATCATTTCTGGGATGCATTTACATCCAGCTGACGAGTCCCAAATAACACGAATTGTGCATCCTGGATTCTACTGCCAGCCACCGTCCATCTCTATTTGATTGATGTTTGACTATCACATAAAACCATCGATCTCTTTTCTTATATTTAACATAAATAATGAAATCGATTTTTTTCGAAAGGACCTTTATTAAACACTTTTCTTAGAAGAAAACGTTTTGGTTATTTGATTTTCCCTGGTGATTTACTACTCATTAGTGATTTTCAGATGAAAGTAGTTGAAGTAAAAAGACATACACAAACATACATGGACACACATACACAGAGTGAGATTGAACTTATTCACTTACTTTTTAAATGTTTATTTTCAAAGTTTATCATCTTCATATTAAGATAAAAGAAACATTTTTCGAGTAATCAATATATATGATGAATTTACCTCTATTTATAGCATTATTATGATTAATAATACATCAATGGGGAGATTCAAACAAACAATACTAAGTGAATTTAAACTTCACCCCATTGTACAAGCAAGTGGCTATCATGGCTCAGTAGCTAAGTGCATAACGCAATGGAGTTTCAGGTGAATAGTACTGATTTCGAGTCCTACAGTGAACATCAACATACATTCAAATAGGACTAAACGCGCTTCCTGGATTACACTGCTAGCCACTATCCATCTTTGCTTACAATGCTTGTGAATTAAGGCTATATCGAGGCAATACGCACAGTAGGGAAAGTTCAAACAAACAATACTAATTTAATTTTTTTACTTTTTTGTTTAGTTCATTTATACATAGAAAACACATAAATATGCATTAAATGTAATTTAATTGAAACCTATATATATATGATAAATTGTGTAACGATCGATCAAATCGAATGAGGAAGAAAACTGTATCAGGATTATTTAAGTTTATTAAAGTTTGGCATAGCAACTAAATTTTTTATCTTAGTTACAATTAATTATTTTTACCAGGCATTAAACGTGATTTCATTGATAAAGATGTGTAAAATAATAAAAGACAAGATTGTTTCATAAGAAGTATTACCATTAAAAACATATTTTTAAAGTAAAAAAAAAAACATTTTTGTCGGATATGTTGTTGTTTAATGAATTTAACTTTAACAATGGCGCCAATTTGATTAATTAAAGATTAGTTTCATTGGAAACCTAATTTGATTATTCCTGTAAAGTCGTAAAGAATTTTAACAAATGATTAATTCTTTTGTATCGAAAATGTACTCATCAATCACAATCGTCGATTGATTAAATAGAGAGAAATCGAGATTACTAGTCGATTGCTTTCTTATATTCTGAAATGTAGCATAAGTATACACCTAAAATAGTTAACCAGGTTGAATAAACTATTCTTAGATTGAATGATAATTACATTTACAATAATGAAATACAGACTATCAGTCAGTCAGTCAGCTACAACGTAGGATCAGGCACATTTGTGCATCGGTCCAAGTTACCATACCTCATTAGCACAACAAGATGAACACCGAATTCATAGTAGTTAATTTAGTGGTGGTAGTATATAATAGAAAGATTGTATATAAGGATATAGTATAGGAAGGAAGACAGATATGAAGCAATTTTAATCTTAAGGTTTAAGGGGAGATAAAGAGTGCATACACCTACGCCATTGTGATCGATTCTGAGCCATGTCACCTAGAGTCTCCAATCATTGGTTACGATAGTCATGCGGACCCCAACCAGGAAGTCTGCATCTACCAACATGGCTCAGACTAGAAGTTAGTAACTTCAAGCACTGATGCCACGTTTTGGTCTGGCCACCCCTAACTCTTCTCCAACCATCTCCTACACTAGTCAGCATTGCGCGTTGTGGTAATCGGTATTCAGGCATACGTAACACGTGGCCCAACCATTTCAGTCGATGAGGATTCATGACCTCAGCAACTGATTTACCATCATTTCCTAATAGCCTGTGTCTGTAGGAGGAAACAAATATTCGCAACTGTAATAAAATAAATGAGATGAACCTGATTTTGACTGCTTACCAGACAGGGATTAGTCTTTGAGTGAACTCCTAATCAATTCAAGGGTCGCAGTACAATATATAAATCAATACAACTACCTAAATACGAATATTGTTAACTAAGAAATCGATGAGACTATAATTTGTGGACGAATTAATCAGGTTTGAGACGATGGGTCATGAATGTTGGCACGAAATTCCTATATATATATATATATATATATAACATTTTGTCATTATGGTTGATGTCAGTTCGTCATGAAAACCCCGAAATCTTATTTTCACCTTAACCTTCAGCTTTAACTCTTAACCCTATTTCTTCATGTTGTTCTAGTGTGTGTTTATTAAGAAAGGCAATTAAACATGATGGAAAAAGAAATAAAATATAGTGAATCGTATAACCTCCAACGTTAATACATCAAATATCGTTTCGAGTAAATATGTTATTAGCAAAAGCGAAAAGAAGCCCAATGTTCTAACAAGTATCAGTCTAGTTTTAATTCAATTCGAAGGTAAAATTTAAGAACTGGAAACAATCTTCATAGGCTGGTAGATTGGAATAACTAGTCTCCAAGAAGCTCTAGGTGCCATTAAATATGACACTCCGTTGACGCCTACATACATTGTATCTACAGATTGAGTTAGTGATAGGTAATTATTTTGAACAATCAGATTTCAACCAACAGACTGTAAATTCAGAACTCGTTTTGCTTATTTAAGTTTCGACATATCAGCATTATCACTAACCCACGAGAAGACGATATGAGCCATAACTAACTGCATTAATATATACATGGTAAGTTGGTTAAAATATAAATTGAGAATAATCTCCTTGTGAAGTTCTAATTCACAGTAAAGTAAATGTAAGTACTGTCAGTTTACTGATGAAACCTACTTTCATTAAATGGTACAACAATACAAGTACGTTTATTTATTTCACTTAAAAATCATTTTGTTTACACTATCTATCCAATATTTTGATTTCGTCTTATTAATGTCTAATTATATTATAAATCACTTTGAGTAGTTACACCAATTTATTTCAACTCTTGTTATGGTCTTGATTTGTTTGTTTATCCGTCAGACTGATAACTTTCCTATGGGTTACAATGTAACATCAGGCTAAATACAGTATGAGATATGTTTGGTAAAATCGATTACGAAAGTTAAGAAAGAAAAGTGACCATATTTACAACATTATTCATTTAATACATAGGTTCAATGAAAAATGAAATACTTACTAATTTCACATAACCTTTATGGTCAAGAAGTAAATTTTCTGGTTTTAAATCTCTATATAATATGCCTTGTGTATGTAAGTAAGTGAATGCTTCCAAAACACAAGCAACCACAAAACGTGTCATAACATCATCAAATCGACCTCTTGAAAAGATAGAAAAAAGGATCCATTTTTTAAATGATACGTTTATATATTTTAAACAGATCATCTTTAAAATAAAATCAATTGACAAAAATCCCTATTTGGTATACTTATATTAGACGTTGTTATTTATCAACAAGGTTCTAAAAATTATCTGAAATCGATCCACAAAATGCTGTAAATACAGACATTGGTAATATGTTATTCAGACTAGAACTATGCTTCGACAGGATTTGAATTATACGTGTGATTACAATAATGTAAACCTGTCCAGTAAAATTTCATTAAAACTAGGAACTCATTAATGACAATGATTCTTTCTAGGATACTGATTAATATAACAAGTTGTCTACGCAAGTGTCGAGGTTACAAGTGATTGCAAAAAGACTGAGCAAAAGGCAGATATTCATCACAAACGACTCGTTATTCGTACAGGATGATATAAACACGTTCACTTATTTCCTTAAACATATGATAACTTATTTATTTTGTATTAGAAATAATTCAGTATTGGTATACTATGTTTTATTCTAAGAAATAGTAACTAAGACATTCTGTTTAAAATCGTAGAAAGACCTTGTTTCTTGAACATTTTACCCCCAAAACATACAAATTCATATAATGTGCTTCAGTAATCAGCCAAGCTATATGAATAATCACTAATTCTCATCGCCGTAGAAAGTAAAATTCACGAAATAATCACTTGACAGCAACTACTTTAATCCTACTATCATTAGTATTAGGTAAAGTTGATTTATAAATAATATGGTATTCCAGTAGCATCTTCCACGTGATTGGTTACTTTGTTACATACATAAAATATAAAATAAGGAAGTTCAATGGGGATCCTAAAATAAGTATAAGAGTAACTATTATCAAATGCTAACTAGTGACTGATTGCACGAGGTAATTCCCAGAGTTCTTCTGAGTACCCGTGATCAGTGTAGTTTAACTGTGATAGGTGTAAGACAGTTACCCATCAAAGACAATGGAAGATCGTTGCACTATACAGTGGATTGACTGAATTTAAGCATGTAAACCATCGAGTGACGGCTTAATGGTCTGAAGGCTAAACTGTCAAATCGGGAAATGAAGGTTATGGATTCTATACCTAGTAGCTAGCGTGGATACGCATTGCTCAGGAGTCTCATAATAGGATGAAACAGCTATCCAGTGCTTTCTGGTTTTCAATGTTTACCTGAGTTAGGTTAGTTTGTAATCTCACTGACATTTTGAAACTAATAGAAAGAGAAAAAAACGTATTTTTCTTATTTAAAAGACACAGTCAAATGTTTCTATTCTTCTGATTGATGATACATGCTACCTATATTTTTCAACATCAGTAGCACATACTGCACTATTATTACTAACTTTTGCCAATTAGATCTATTAAAGTATGTTATCTCAAATGAATTTCTGATAGTTTACTTAACGAATAATCTACATTAAATTTGGTAAAATAGTCATAGTGAACAATAAGTCACAATGAGCATAACACACCTTATAAAATCATTATTAAATTAAATAGAGTTAATAATCAACGGTTTAGAGAATCATTGATTCATAAAACAGAACCTTTTTCCTTATTTTACATTCATATGAATGTGTAATCTTGAAAACCCTGTTTTCAATGAGATTACATGTAGATATAATTAAAATGGTAGTGATAGCTTTGCATAATACCATAAATTTCTTTATAGTACATATCTCTTTAACATTTATTCAGATTGTATTTAGTCAAAACATTTTATACGTTTTTGATGGAGTTTTGTTCTTTGAGCTGGATGTTTTGGTCGTGTAGCTTCCATCATCCTTCTGAACGACATCATCAGCACAAACTTTGGATACATTTTATACGTTTTTAACAGTCATTATCTTTCATCAATATTCAATTATTTATCGTTTCATTAGAAGACGATGAATTAATAAGGCGATAAATAGTGAATGAAATTCTTTCTCACACCTCAGATCCATTTACATACAATACAAACAATCTGTTATCTTAACATACTTCTTTCATATCACATGTCTCATACACATTAAAGCAAATTCCTACTTTAAACAATGTTAACGTGATTGGATGACCTATTTAGTATACAGTTAACCAGAGAACCATGTATTTATTGATGTTCGATAATCTTGGTCTTTTATTGTATTTCGTTGAGAAAGCTTGTACCATATTGTCAAGTGAAACGTTTAGTTTACTTGAAATTCATTTTTTGAAATTTTACGGATACGTTGAATCTCCTTAATGTGTCACAACATCAACTTGACGCTGGTATACTGTGAAACTATTCGATCAAATTTAGACGATAGTTCTTATATGAAATTGTTATTTCTATACTGTTAATGATAGATCACAATGATGATTCGTAGTAATCTAATTACATTCCAATCTGTTCTGATACAAAACATAATAAATATCTTATTTAACCTTCACCTACTTTCTTTATCGCCTATTTTTCTCTTTGCATTGTGTATTATCAATTCAATTCAAAGTAATCAGTTAGTTAATGATTGATTCTATCAAATAAATTTATACTGTTGTTAATTATTAACCCTGAATATGCTTTCTACAATATTTTCATATATAACCCATCATGAACTTTTCATATAATGTCTAACCAATAACAGAACAACACTGGTCATAATCATCAGATAAGTTGCTAAATAAAAATTGTTTTTATTTAACATTAATTATACTTTCAATCTACTGAGTTGAAATTTAACGGATCATATTTTCAGTATTAACTAATTTGTAATATAGAACCATCAACTGGTGATATAAGAAGGTAACTACTACTACTACTACTACTACTACTACTACTACTACTACTATTACTACTACTACTACCTCACTTACGAAAAGATGATTGAGTTAACCTAGTATTCCCTACCTTTTAATAAATTCTTATCTACAGTTGACCTATGATAAAATCTAACTTCAAATGAACTCTTATTTAACAAGACGTTGGAAATATGTGTGTATATATTTGTCGCTTGATCGCCGAATAGTCAGCTCTGTAGTACTGATCTAATTTTATAGCCCAAGTTTCAGAGGGGCCAATATTTTAAGTGCTCTATATTTTATTGTTAGGTAGCTGAAGTTATTCAGTAGGAAACCCTAAACCTAAGTTTTGTGTTAGCTGACACTCGTCTACAAAGTATGATTATAGTTATGAGGGAACTGATCTTCTCTGTCAGATCCGAGCTTATATCACTTAGCCACACAGTCCCAGACATATCAAACTGCTTGATATCAGATATAATATATACGGTGTCGAGTCATTCAGATCAATGACTACATTGCAATTTGATCGATAGAATACAATCTGAACTAAGGGCTTAGAAAACCTACCAGTGATTACTAATAAACTATGTGTATGTATATTTGTATTTCTATAAAGCATTACGTTGTAAAATAGATATTAAGTCATGAAGAAGATAAATTTAACAAAATGTTTACTCACTTATTTCGTAAAACTGTCCATAATTCACCACCTAAACAAGCTTCCAACAGCATGTATACAAATTTGTTATCTTTATATGTACAGTAAAGTCTGAAATAATGAAAGTAAAATGACACCTTAAAACTTGCATAATCTAATCACATTGACTGTTAATTTGATTTTTTAAACAAAATCCACTTATAATATAACTTGGATTGTTGTTTTCTTTGTGATCATCATCAGTGAAGATGGTTCAGCTATTGTCACTAAGTAAGATTCTGGGACAGCATTTTGAATTGATTATATCGCTAAAGGTTAGACTTGATTATATAGTTAAAAGATCATCAAGTTACTTCATATAATGAAAGTAATTAGAAATGCCCAATTTTCGATGATGTCATGTCATCTGACAAAACCCTTGTTATGTGAGCATTTTAACAGATGGTAAGTAGTCGATAGTCAATAAGTTAGTTATGCCAAGTAATACGATCATTAAGCTACGATTTTTGGCATTAGATATCCAAAGCTAATCAACGTATATCCCTGTATCTTTCTGGTAGATGTCAACAATTAACAAAATGTTTCTCCTGATAAAATCACAATGCTAACCGTGGAAAAATCAAATTGAAATTAATACATATTTTACTATCTTGACTTCTTATTAACAGGCAATGAAATACTGTACGTTAAAAATTAGTCCAGTCATCAATTATTTTCTTTATCCCAATATTATCGATATTAATGTATTTATTTCTGGAGGGGTTTTTGTAGATATCATAGTAATTTTAATAGTTAAGATCATGAGTCACTTGAAGCTAGACCACCTTGGAAAATTTTGAAACACTGGACGGCCATTTAGTCCTATTGTAGAACTCCTCAGCAGCGTGTATCTACTATCCCGCCCCGCGAGATTCGAACCCAGGACCTATCAGTCTCGCGCGCGAATGCTTAACTTCTATAGGAATGTTTTCTGTGTCACAATATTTTTTAAAAGGTTCTCTGTAAAATTGTAGTTAGTTCTTATTATATTTTTCAAATACACCGCATTTGTTTGTATAATCTCAACATGAAACATAATACTCAGAAAGCTTTCAAAGGCTATTTTTGCTTTACTAAAGTATAAGCTGTTTCTATCATCTATACCATATGTATTTATAACAAGAAATCTCACTTATCAAACACTTGAGTAGATTGGTCAATTAGAAAACAGAAGTACTGGTACATTTTGATTAGAAACCAAGAGAAAAGCAAAATGTTAATTATTAATTATTTCGTCTACTTAGTATGTTTCTTTTTTCCTGTAAATATAGCCCCAATATACTTTGTTATATTCTATATAAGTTGTCTTGATTTTAATTGAATTAATTAGATTTTAGTTTAAATCTCAAAGGGGATTAGTTAGTATCTTGACCTTAGAAATAAATTATTAATTAAACTTTTCACATTTTAATTCTGAAAATGAAAAGTTGGATTTCAGAAAAATTACTACATATTTTTCTTAATCGATACCTATCTGAATTATTCCACATTGAGTGAATCAGCCAACTGCGTCAGAAGTCAAACCCTCACATGGAGTCCTAAAGGTCAAAGGAGAAGAGGAAGACCGAAGCACACATTACGCCGAGAAATGGAGACAAGCATGAGAAGAATGAACGAAATTTGGATAGAACTAGAAAAGAAGGCCAAGGACAGAGTGGGTTGAAAAATGCTGGTCAGCGGCCTATGCTCCATTGGGGGTAACAGGCGTAAGTAAGTAAGTATATGAAAACTATTGAATGCATAACTTATAAAATTTATAGAGCATTCAAGACAGTAGTTTTATTAAATCAACTAAAAATAAGAAAAGTGTTTATTTGAATAAATCATTTTCAATAATAAAATAAACTGTTTTCACTATACTAGTTAGACTGTAATGATAGGAATTAACGAAACATTCGAATTCGACTAATTATACTGTCTGATTCATTTTCTATTTCATAAATTATCAGAAACTTGCAGAGAAGTCATAATACGATAGTTAGAACTAACAAATGGAAGATGGCGCAGATGATAATTGAATGTCCAATACCATAACTATGTTCATATATACATACAGTACGCTGATATGTTTTTCATTTTTAAAGTGAGTGGAATATTTTATGATATAATTATTAAATAAAACAAAAAAAATTTTTAATATAAAACAGTAAACATTTTAAAATTAATGTATAAATCCACAATTATTTTTTTGCAGTTAAACAAAAATCCTATCTGAGACCACCTAAACAATTGCAGTTTACCATTGTAGACTATATATGAAATTAGCTTGAAATTGATCAAAATGATAAAGTTACATTCATTCTTCATCTGCAACTAAATCTGTAGTTTCAATATTATTGTAAATTTTTCGTTTCCTGTTTTAATTGTTGTTGCATTAAGCTAGATATTTTATGTTCCGTTTTCACCGTCATCGACATTATTTAAAGGCTCTGTTAGCTTTGAAATTCTCAACCTCCATCCATCGTACTAATAAGAACGGCGAGATTTAAGAGTGATGTACATTTCTATCATATCCTATACTATTGACAACTTACTAATTGGCTGAAATTACAAGATTATTAATGAGTATTAAATTAAGTCGATGTACTTAACATAAAATTTTATTCATTTTCTGAAGAAAATTCTGTAAACCAGTTTTCAAACGAGTAACATTCTATTTATATAATGATTCAGATGTAATTAGGTGATTAAAAAGATTTGCAAAAACTTACCCCAATGATAAACTAACACTATTTGATTGACTTTTATGACTTTAAATTGATCAGTATCGATTTTTATTTCAATAACTCAAAAAAGAACACATATTTTTCAAAAGATCATTGGAAATCAGGAGGTTCCGTATTATTATTATTACTGTTATTATTATTAATCATATATGTATATATATTCATTTACTCACCGACAAATAAATGGACATCGAAGTTCCAACATTATTTGTCTTTCTGAACAAATGTGCTCTTGTTGACGTGTATGCACAATATGTTGTTTTTTCATACGTTTTAATGCAAATGTTTTATTTCTATTTTTAGTCCAAGAAACCTTAGTAAAAATAGGGTATATCAAATAAACAATGAAAAAATCAATTAATTTACTGTCATAATAATTATATCATTAAATAATGTGCACAATAGGTGATTACTAGGAAGACTTCAAGTTATGTTTCGATGGTGGTCTAGCTTCAATTGACTCATGATTTCAACTTTGAAATATACTGAAATCTCCACAAATCCCCTTCTGATTATAATCATATGCTCACTAGTGACTGACTTCAAGATACATGTCCTGGAGTTCTAGTGGGAAGCAGTGACCAGTGGAGTTCAACCACATCTGTTGTGAGATAACAACTCACTGAAGGCAATTGGTGAAGTGTCGCTCATAATTCGTGGATCAGTTGAAGTTAGACATTAACACCGTTGGATGCCAGCTCAGTGGTCTATCGGTTAAGGGCTCTGGCTCGTAACTGGTAGGTCCTGGGTTCGAATCTCGCTCGCGAGAGCGGGTTCGTGGATGCGCACTGCTGAGGAGTCCCATAGTAGGACGAAACGGTCGTCCAGTGCTTCCAGGTTTTCGATGGTGGTCTAGCTTCAATTGACTCATGATTTCAACTTTGAATTATGTAATTTTTTTGTTAATGTTAGCCCATTTGTTTAAAATAGAATTTCGAATATATTGTTGTGGTTCCTATGTCCATACTAACATTTGATATTATTTAATCGATTGATTGGAGAAATCAGGAAGAAGCGCTGAATGTGGATAGGACACACATTGAGAAAATCACCCAAATGCGTCACAAGGCAAAACCTCACATGGAATCATCAAGGCCAAAGGAAAAGAGGAAGACCAAAGAACACATGAAGTCGAGAAATGGAGACAGACATGAGAAGAATGAACAAAAATTGGATAGAACTAGAAAGGAAGGCTCAGGACAGAGTGGGTTGGAGAATGCTGGTCAGCGGCCTATGCTCCATTGGGGGTAACAGGCGTAAGTAAGTAATCGATTGATTTCACCATAAGTTTGTTAATTTTATTGTATTCCAATGTCATGTTTTGTTACTATGTATATAGAGTTGTTCTACTTTAAAAGTGTCTTCCTGAATATCACGTTTACTTAAACTCCCAGCTTCCTACTGTATTTCTTCGGGATTTTGAATTATTACTGAAATGTTGTGTATCTGTTGTGTGGTACCATCATTTCACAATCAATTCCGTTCTTACTAGAATAATCATAATTGTTCGTAATTAGAAATTACCGTAAGCCCAAATGAACACAAATATGAAGTCATAACAGAAATGTGAGCATGTAACGAGGAAAAGAATTTTAACGATATTTCAATACCATCAATTTTTTAGACAAATGATTTTGTAACTAAGACAGGATTAAAAAACACTTTAAAAGTTTAGAGTTTTTCAAAGTCTTTCGAACGAAACATATTTACGACCTATCCAATTAAATTGAGAGCTTATTTTATGGATTGAATTTAAATGCTTATGAATTATCTCAGTGGGCTTTGGCCCATACTGGATTTCTTCTGTACTCTTACAGTGTTATATGTCCTCTTTCATACATGAGACTGTTTACTCTATTTCTGATCGAACATCTATCAATCATACAGGAATTGGGTTCTCTTTGCTTCTAACTGACCATATTGGATCAGTCGACTTTCAAGTAATTAAAAACTAGAAATGGTGAGACATTGAATATGATATTGACCTACCCGGTGTATCCTGTTCAAAGTTATCTATGTAATTCGAAAGTTGTATTAGTGATTATTTGAGGAAACATTTAATTAAGTAATTATATCAAAAAGACTGTCACATATAGCTTTACATGACAGAATTGATGAAAAATGTAACATCTAATTGAAACATAGAATCTTGAGAAGTACAAAGAGAATGACACAAAGGTATAGAAAACAAAATGAATCCATGGTAAAATACTGATCACGTACAAATAACAATAAGTCCTGAATAATCTAATCTAGTGTTTTGTCGTGCGCGCTCAAACAATGAACATACATGTTTAACACATTTTATAAATATACATAGTAAATCAGAAAATAGAAATGTTAAAATGTTAACTTTTGTGTACAAAATACGATATGATATTATCATGATAAATTTACCAATTCGACACATCCAAACCCTCCAACACCTAGAACTGTGATTCGTTCTAAATCATTTTTATCGATTTTAGCAAAAGAGAGAGAATCTTTTGATTGTCGTTCTTCAACAGTTTGTGGAGTTCTAGCGGTCTCTTCTTTATCTAAATATTTTCCTGATTGTTGATGATTTATTGATATTATCCTATGTAATGGTAATAAAAATATACACAAAAGATTAAAATATATACTAAAGAAGCATTAGATAAATAAGATTAGGGTAAATCTATTCAATACAATTGTACAAATATCAAGGGAAATTAGTATTTGATATTACTGACAGGATAATGAAGGAAATTTCCTATACAGATTGAGGAAAAAGTGTTTTAACATTAAGTAGTTGTTATATCCCGATAACAATAGTGAATGGTAACTTTGGGATCCATTTATGGACCAATATTATGCATATAATTTTTATCGTATATTTGATAAATAATTAAACTACTCATATTCATGTTCCTATCATTGTCAGCTTTGTTTTGACCCTTGGACTATTATTGTACGATTTACCATTCCTGAGTTTTACCCAGTCTATTAATTACTGCTCCCCCTATTCACAGCTACATTTGGCTAAATATTGTACAAATGTTATTTTCTATTTTATTGGTACAATGTGGTAAGTCCGTTTAGCATCTAAACTAAGTATGTTTGAAATAAAATGATTCATATTGCAGAGGCTGTTATTGGTGTTCTGGACTTAACTGGCTGGTCTAGGCAGATAGCAGGACTGATAAGCACTCTAGACTGCTCGTACGGTTTTCGTGCGTCACTGTTCCAACCGATAATTCGCTGCTCTCTGATTGGCAGTTTTATCACGTCATACATTAACTGGGCATCCAGTCGGCCACAAGATATAACAGTAGTATATGAATAAAATAGATCAAAATAAAGCTAATGATAAGAGAAACACGAATATGAATAGTTTAGTTACGTAACAATTGTACAATAGGAAATAGGCATAATACATTGGTCGATAAATAGTCCTTGGAGTTACCATTCGTAATTAACCAGGGGATATAACACAATCTGGTACATAAGTTTGGTAGATCAATTAGATCAAATTGTTACAAGATATCTGAAAGTGATCTTCAGTTGAAACATTATACCAACCTTCATTCATTAGTAATCTGTTGAACCGAATATGCGAGAATTTGTGTTCTGTTAAACATTCGAAATACTCTTAAAATATTTCGCAAATTTCTTATCATTCGAAGAAGCAAATGACTAATTTTTAGAGATCTCTAAAGAATGAATAAATGACTGTGGGTGAATGAACGATGTTTAATGAAAGTAGTGAACATTTTTAAAGTGTGAAATGATCAGTCAGATAGATTTAATATGTAATTAGATATCGGCAGGTATGATAATTAATTAACGTCAGGAGCTAAATAGATTGTCTAAAATCCTAAGGAAGCATCAAACAGACGTTGAATTGAAAAACAGAATGAAAAAAATCAATAAAATATAGCATACATAAGAGTCATGGTATAAAGACATACAATAAAATGCATGTTGGAATGATTTAAAAAGAAAATATACCAGAAAACACAAGACAGTCGTTTCATCCTGGTGAGAGACTCTTTAGTAGTGAGCATTCACAACCCCACCATGATTTGAATACAAGAAGTTTACGTCTAAAAATATGTGTTTCATCTTCAGACCACTGGTTTATATATCTAGTTTTAATTAAATTTCAATATTGAGCAACCATCTTACATGGTCTCCAATAAGTAACTACATTATGTCATTATTATCACGCTAGATCTTATAACAAATATAAATCTAGTTAAGTCCAAAAAAGGATTCAACTCCAAATCATAAATCATACAAAATTGATCAATCATTTTATCATGTCAAATTCTCATTAGAGAATGTAATAAGACTAGCTACAATCATTTAACATCAATCGTAATACATCATAATATTATGTCATTTAGATGAATGATTATATTTTACAAATAGATCGATAACATTCGATCACCAGATAGTAACAATTAAACGAGATGACAAGAGGACATTGATTATCATTAAAGGCAATCAATAAGCGTTACATCGATTTTATATAGTTGAGATCATGAGTCAATTGAAGCTAGACCACCATGGAAAACCTGGAAGCACTAGACGGCCGTTTCGTCCTATTGTGGGACTCTTCAGCAGTGCTCATCCACGATCCACATCAATTGCCAATTTACATATGTTTAACTCTTTTTTTTATTTTATTCATTTAAACAATTCAATAAAATAACATTTCATATTTATAGAACAGAAATAATTTTACTTACCCAGTGGATGGACGATTGATATCATCATAAGTTTTAGATTTAAATTCATTTAAATCACCAATTAGATAAATAAAATTACTACAAATAAAAGAAAGAAAAAAAGGGGGAGAAGAAAGAAATTACTTTTCTTTGTTGTTCTTTTTTTTAAAAAAGAAAGTAAATAAATAAAGAATTTTATTGGATAATGGAAATACAGATTATACGCTAAAGATTATTTGAGTTTGAATTGTAAAAAAAATATTTTATTGGTTGTTATTAGTTGTGCAACCGTTCATCAATTGTCTTTAGTGACTTCCTATCTCACAACAGACGTGGTTTGAACTCTACTGGTCACTGCTTCTCATTAGAAAAATTCAGGAATTATCTCTTAAAGTCAGTCATTAGTGGGCATATGATTATAGCTTCAATTGACTAATGCTTTCAACTATGAAAATACTAAATCTCCACCAAACCCCTTCTTTTATTAGTTGTGTTTACTGAATTATTAATAGGTGATTATTCTAAAGTGGAATTATTTTCTAAAGAAAAGTCTTAGTGATTCTGTTATGTCCCGATGAGAATTATAAATGATAACTTCTGAGAACTATTTATGGACAAATATGATACTTATATTTTCTATTGTATAATTGTCAACTAACTAAACTATTCACATTCGTATTCCTATTATAGGCTTTATTTTGACCTATAAACTATTATTATATGATTTACCGTTTTCGAGTTATACCCAGTCTATTAATTACTGTTCCCTATATTCACAGTCACATTTGGATGAATCTTATACAAATCTTATTTTCTATTTTATGGTACGATGTGGTCATACCGCAGAGGCTGAGATTGGTGTTCTGGATTTAGCTGGCTCGGCTAGGCAGAAAGCTGGATCGATAAGTGCTCTAGATTACTCGTACGGGTTTCGTGTGTCATTGGTTCGATCGATAAATCACTGCTCTCTAATCACGTTATACATTAACAGGGCATTAACAGATTCCTTTTTTTAATTTAGTCAGTCGGCTCAATGCAAAGTTGAATCTGATATATCTGTGTATTAATTCGAGTAGCTATACTACAACTATACGGTAAGATGCTAGAATGATATATATATATAAGTAGTAAAGCTTATGAATTTGTGGAGTAGTAAGAAAAAAGTTATTTTTATGATAACTGAGAAGCCTAGAAAATAAGGCATAGTTAAAAGTGAATGTGTCGGCACCAATGAGGATGATTCTGAATCATGTCACCCGAAATCTCTAATCGTTTAATCTAATTATTGTGAGGACCCCAATCTGATAATCTGCACCTATCTAGATGACTCAGACCAATATTCAGTCACTTCATGGACATTACAATTTAGCGGCTTCTAACTTTCTTCCAACCTACTTGTACACTTGCAAACATCGTACGTCGATGTAGGTATATTTTTTTACGAAGTACTTAACAAACTGTTGGGTAGTAGAAGAACATAATAAGTTAGCAAAAATTTCTCATAAATATTAAACTATCTTTTCCATATTGAAATAATCTAGATGTACTAACTTCTTTAGAGTTTTACATAAAAAATCATAGAGATCATAATAAAATTGAAACACAAATCTAATAAGCATAGAGATATATAGTCAAAGCATTACTTTTTCCCAGAATATTTATATATGTAATATTTCATTACTTCACTTTACTTTGATACGTTTCAAAAGAATGTTAGAATGACAGATGAACTTAAGTCAAACCCTATTTAATGACAGGGGTCAAGATAATGAAAAAAAACTATTGGGTTATTATAGTTTGATAGTAGTATTTAAATAATCATAAACTACAACAATTTAATGTTTATTTACATTTTAATCACTGAGTATTACTAAAGGTATGGGATAATAGCATAAATAAGGTCAGTTTAATTTTACTATGGATGATAGTTGTATTTTCTAATACAGCCGACAAAGTGTACAACTTAATAATCTAGTGTTTAATAATATGCACTAGGATTACTGACATAAGGTAGTTACACAATGACGTGATTTTTGAAATCTATATACAGTATATATATATATATATATATATATATATATATATATATATATATATATATATATATATATATATATATATATATATATATATAGTTTCTATAAACTTTTATTTACCTCCTATCCAATGAGAGTAGATGTACACCACCTTCAGCAGATATTACATTGGCGCTCCGTTTTTCACATCTAAAAACATAAAATTACATTCATAATTAACCGTCATACTTACAATATAGATATCGTCTATTAGTTTGATAAAATTTTAACGTATGTTAATACAATTTATTTATTTTATCAGGATCAAGGAATCTCGTGGATTAAGATGTTGTTGATAGAATTCTTCAGTGATATATCAATTTCTAACTTCAGTACTGATTTAGAAAGAGAAAGACACTTCAAAAGCTATAATCGAATTAATAACTAGCGACACTTTTTAGAATATTTTGTATTTGAACTAAAAAGTATGAGTGTTTTCATGCAGTATGAAATAGCTATTAAAAATGATATATATTACTGTTTGATATCAGTTGCTTTCAACTACTCATAATGTCTACTAATATAAAACATGTGAGGTTTTATTTAAAGTCATACCATTAAATATATATATATATATATATATATATATATATGTCTTAGTTGGATAAATGCTATTATTATATATCCTTCAACTCATTTACCTAATAAAATTTAATGTACTGAGCTTTCAGCGATACTTTGTGTTTCAGAGTTTATGATGCTACCAAGGTCTTTAAATCGAAAAATTTGGAGCACAGCTTGAATATGGTTAAAATCCACGTCCTCTAACTACTGCACCGTCACTGTATTTTTCAATAAAGATTCTTCCTCTCTAACCCAAGAATGAAAACCATGAATTGTATATGATTTAAACATTAGTGATATAAATCGTTAATTTTTAAAGTTCTGATAATTCATCAACGGATATATATATATATATATATACTTCCCAGGTGCTCAAACTGAAGCAGGCGGTTTTCTTAGGGGGACCAAACCCGGAGCATTTGACCTAAAGGTCTGATCCACAAGGCAGTAGAGCATCGTAAGGAGATACAGTCTCATGGTAGCCGGTGACCAACGATTGATTCATACACCATTTGTTCCTTCAGGATACTGGAGCCCATGTGCACTATTAGTTTGAAATCAGGGTTTTCCAACTCCCCTAGGTGAACTTTCCGTGTCGACCAGCCCGGTTAAAGCGCCAAACATTCACTTTTCGTCCTCTCAATTTCGTAAACAACACCCCCGCCATAAGAAGACAGTGAGTAGGGCTTCCCTGGTAGATGCTTTATACGCGTGGCCATGTGAAAGCATTTGGAGAGGGAGAGCAGACTCTCCTCACTCTCGGCCGTACCAGGGCATTTAGGAGCTGTGAATCTTATTTGTACATCTAATACATGATTTGTTAACCACTTCCTTTATTTTTAATTATATTTATTAAATATATGATTGTTCTAAGTCAATTATTATAATATACCTAATCTTCATACTTGTAACTTCTGTTTCAGTACACTCAAAGGACCTAGACTTAGATATTTGTATACTTATCACGATGTTAATATGTGCTAACTTTGTGATGAGATCCCATTCTTCCATTGTATTGTCTACTATTCATTCTTTCTTCATTATATGAAATCACATTAAATATTTGTTATATATTTGATGATTTTTTCTAGTAGGATACAATAAAGTTGAATTATTTATTTTGTCTGATTCCACATTTCCATTTTTAAATTATTTGTGTATTACTTGTAACTGATTTCAATAACAATCAAAAAAATTTTCACTTGTTGTATTGTAGTGAACAAGAACACACTTGGGAACAATCAAATGTATTTAAGCACAAATTACAGACTATCCCACTAAATTCTGATAACCATACAGTAAACAGTTAATTTGCAAAATAACAATCAATTGTCTCAATCTTCACTGTTTCTTCTGTAAATATCAGTTCATCTTCTCTGATTTCATTGTTCATGCATTTTCGTACCGATTGCGCTTCATTTCTGTTCTTTCCTTATCGATCTTCTGCCAAAATACATTCTATGCCTGACCATCACCATAAGTGGACCACACCACAGTATAATAATTAAGATGATTAATTTCATTAAAGCAATAAACTCACGTATATAATGCCCTTTCTCCGAACCAATCTCCATCTGTAAGTTGACGAATTTCTTTTGTTTCATCAGTACCATCAATTGTATGTGTAACACGTACCTAATTCATGTAAAATAATGAAAGAAAGTCAATTCAGTTCAACTGATATATTGTAAAATTAAACAGAAATTGATTTTTAAATTAATTAAATTCAATAGTGAAAGAAAAATATGAATGTTATGCAATTCTAATTGAAGTAATCAAGGTATACTTGATGAAATGAAATATTTCTTGGTACATCTTCTTTTATTTACCTTTAGTGACCTGGTATGTGACTCCGGTTATGTCGTACGACGATTATTATTGAAATAAACATATCGGCTATCGTCGTATGTAATAATCGACTTAATCAGCGTTAGTGAATGACGGAATTAAAATAATTCAAATACAAGAAGCGGTTTCGAATAAATATATTTTGTACACTCATTGATCAAGATAGACAATCAGAGGAACGAAGAGAAGAAAAGATAGCGAAGCGAAATGACGCTCAGTGGAGAAGGCATGTGAGCCAATTCCATTTAATCAAGCGTTGATCAATATTCATAGTCACATAGAAATAAGCTACAGACACGTGATGAATAGGATAAGATGTACAAACATATACGCTCATATAAAAACAGTCAGGGTTGATAAGTGAATAATTAACAAGGTCGAAACATGACTCAAGAAGAAGGAATAAATTGGTCTATCCAAAAGTTAGAATAAGTTATATGGGCTTAACATAGTACCCAACACTACATACCATTATCATCAATATACTTCTGAATTAGTCTAGCTACATTTATCTATTAAGGTATTTTCTATAAATTCATATATACTCTTAATTTCCTAGTTAAATAATAATTACAGTGTTCAATAAAAAAATTTCTATATTTTACTATCCGTGCAAAAAAATTTATTGAAAAGAGATTATTTTATAAGTTAATTAAGAAATCTAATAAATGATAAGCAAAGATGGATAGTGGCTAACAGTGGAATCCAGGACGCGCGTTTCGTCCTATTCGGGACTCGTCGGCTGGATGTATCTGCATCTCAGAGTTGATGTTCACTCTTGGACTCGAACCCAGTACGTTTCGCTTCAAACGCTATCGCCTTATCCACTCAGCTAGTGAGTCCTGATAGCCACTTGCTTGTGCAATGGTGTGAAGTTTAAATTCACTTAGTATTATTTGTTTGAAAATTCCCATTGATGTATACTGGGAATATCGAAGTAGTCCGCACAGGATGTACATATGCCTAAAATGGACTGATCAATTTCGGTCCTAAACATCAATCGGAATATCCAAACAATCAATACATGTGAATTTAAATTAAAGATCACAAACCAGTAGCTTTTCAGACTCAGTGGATGAGTGGATAACAAGGTGGCGTTTAATGCAAACAGTATAAGATTCGAGTCCTGATGTGAAAATCAGCTCTGGAATTCAGGCAAATGCAGCTGATGAGTCCCAAATAGATCCAAACACGTGTCATGGATTCCACAACTAACCGCCATTCATCTCTGCTTAGAATTGTAGTTTAATCTATGAAAATAAAAATTTCTTCTTAAGCTTTTATATTTCGTAAATAATGGGATCATCTGTGAATTTTCATTTGAAATTTGTTTCTTTTCTTACATAATTATAAAAAGCAGGATCATATTATGTGTGTAAAGAAGGTAGTGTTCACACTTTAATTGTAATTTAAACGGACAAAAACATTTCTACAGTTTTTATTTGTGAAAATTATATTTGAAATAATCTCAGCAATTGAAATTCAAATAATTCCAACGTTTCGTCCAGCTAGCTAGTCTGGACTTCTTCAGGGTATAGTAATCAAAATCAAAATCATCAAAGAAATACATCGTGTTTTTTTAACAATCTTATCAAAATCGATACTAAGTTAAACCAATCATATTTGGACGTTAAATTTTAGTAAACACTCATAAAGATTGATAGCAAAAGCGCTGTATATATATCGGCGAATAAGAAGAGCCTAAACAGAAAGGATTGTATTCAGTTAGCAGCCATTTGACAAATATTCATCAACACGTAATTGGACCCTTTCTTTTTTTATTAAACTTGTTTATCTTACATCAATCGTTATTTAGACTGAAATCAATATGAGTTATGGTTAGTAGAGATGGATAGTGGCTAGCAGTGGAATCCAGGACGCGCGTTTCGCCCTATTTGGGACTCGTCAGCTGGATGTACCTGCATCTCAGAGTTGATGTTCACTCTGAGACTCGAGGCAATACGCACATTATGCACATATGCCAATTAGAGACTGACCAGTTGCAGTCCTAACAAATCGATGGGAAGATTCAAACAAACAATACTAAGTTGAATTTAATATGAGTTATGTTTAGCACTGCAATTATGTACTTGACGATTCTCATTTTTACTTGAAACTCAATGATTCAGGAACAGTTTTTCAACCTTCAATTTGCACTTTTATTTTTACTTCACATAGAAACATATCAACACCGAATATCCTTTATTAATAACTCATTCTTACACATACATACACACACTATTCATCCAGTTTTCTATTTCACGTCGTGAACTTTTCACTTGATTCTCATTTAACTGACTCATATTATCCTGTTTACAAAAATTAAACGTAGTATAGATTTTGATATGATTGTTAAAAAACACAATATATTTATTTGATGATTTTGATGTTGATTATTACCCTGAAGAAGTCCAGACAAGTTAGCTGGACGGAACGTTGGAATGATATAAATTTCAATCGCTGAGACTATTTCAAAAATCATTTTTTACATATAATGACTTCTCTATACTCGGCGCCCAATTTTTGTCAAGCTATTCGTTTTAATCTTGACGAATATTCGTATAAATTTCTACAGTTTGTTATAATTTCAACATTTTCGATGTAATAATTGATAGTTAAAATTCATTATATTTAGTGGTTTCTCATCAGCTGCTTACAACCAAACATGTATTAGAATTTTAGCTTTGGGGTAATAAATAGTGTTGAACAATTGACATAAGTAAATGTAAAGGATTGGAATGACAAAAGGTTGTAGTGCCGTGCTTCGATCATAGTTCGCTTCGATAACCGTTATTAATACCAATCTTAACGGTGTATAATATCAGAAGGCAAAGGGAAGCAGCAACTACATTTTTATTGATAATCGATGCAGACCAGAAAGTTGTAAGCACATGAGCAACTGTAAGCAAGCGAAGCAAAGATGATGCGTATTGGAGATGGCTGGGAAGCCAACTCATTTTAAGCAAGCGTTAACTAACATTTATAGGCAGGCAAAAATGAGTGACAGACATATGATGAATAAGATACGAAGTGTACACATATGCGCTCATATAAAAAGTACTCAAGGTTAATAAGCAAATGATTAACAAGATCAAAAGATGACTCAATGTACAGGTGAATTGGCTTGGCCAGTAACTAGAATAAAGTATATGGGCCTAACATATGAACTGGTACTACAAGGTTATCAATGATAACTATTTTGATGTAGATTTGTTCTCTGAGCTGGATGGTTTGGTCGTGGAGCTTTCATCATCCTTCTGAACGACATCACAAACTTCGGGTAGAAGTGTAGTGTTTGAATTTCTCCACATGTGATTCACAGCTTGTCCTGTGCATCCCGATGTTGATTGGTTCTTATTGACCTTAAATCTGTCATTGTTTATTTCTTTGTTTTGGTTGTATTTCCTATTGGTTTGATTTTTGTTCCTATGTTTCTGCATAATTTTCTTGATTGATTGATAAATTGGGTTGATTTCAATGTGCTTGTTTATTGCTGATTGACCTGAGTTCCAAGCTTCTAAAAATTCTCTGGTGTTTTTGGACACCATCTCTGAAGAAATTCAAACACTTCACTTCTACCCGAAGTTTGTGCTGATGATGTCGTTCAGAAGGACGATGAAAGCTCCACGACCAAACCATCCAGCTCAGAGAACAAACCTACATCAAAATCACCCACCTGAGCTACAAATCTTCTCCACCATCTCAAAATGATAACTATATATATATATATATATGCAAGAAAAGGTCAGAGGTTATTAGGTGTTAAAATCAAGGAAGCATGAAGGGTGGGTGGTGTAACAGTTGAGTGTAGTTCAGAGACAGGTAAGATAAAATGTGTGATACTTTTAGAGGTAATGAAGGATTCATGAAAGTGGATAGAAATAGGATGGGTTACGTAATAATTGAATAGAATTTGGAGAGTTCATATAATTTAAGAAAAACAAGTGAGCGGAAATGTGTGAGTGAATGGGTGGTTTAAGAATTGGGTAATGGAAGAGGAATATAATACAAACTAAATATTAACCAAAATAATATAATCAAAATAAGAATAATATAATCAAATATAAATAAATCACTGGGCAATTTGCTCCCATTAATTGAAAATTAATATTGATAAATCACCTTCTATCTAACTTATATTGGTTTAGTTATGATTATACAGTTAATATCATTGTAATTTATTATATAAGAGTAAGTTTATAAACAAGGAGGATCGGATGCAGATGTAAAGGCAAGGATTGACAAAGCAAGGGCAGTATTTCTACAATTGAAGAACATATGGAACTCAAAACAACCCTCAACCAATTTCAAGGTCAGAATCTTTAATACGAACCTCAAGACAGTCCTACTGTATGGAGCTGAAACATGGAGAACTACTACGGCCATCATCAAGAAGGTACAAGTATTTATAAACAAGTATTTATAAACAGTTGTCTACGAAAAATACTCAACATCCATAGGCCGGATACTATCAGCAACAGCATTTTATGAGAGAAGACAAACCAGCTTCCAGCTGAAGAGGAAATTAGGAAAAAACGTTGGGAGTGGATCGGACATATATTAAGGAAATCATCAATGTGCATCACGACTCAATCCCTAACTTGGAATCCGGAAGGGAAACGGAAAAGAGGAAGGCCAAAGAACACACTACTCCGGGAAATAGAAGCCGATATGAAAAGGATGAATAGCAACTGGAAAGAACTGGAAAGGAATGCTCAGGATAGAGTTGGATGGAGAATGCTGATGAGTGGCCTATGCTCCTCGACGAGGGGTAACAGGCGTAAGTAAGTAAGTAAGTAAGTTTATAAACTCGTTACCAAATCATGTTTTATGTATATTTAATGGATCATGATGATATTATTGTTACTAGATTGTTTGGATAAAGTACGATTTGAATAAAAAACTCAACAATTTAAAAGTCAATTACTTTAATCAGTAAACCTAATCATTCTATGCAATTATATGGTTGTTTTCTTTTCACGGTTTCTGTATCTATGGTCAAATGAAAACAAACAAATTTTCAACTTCTACTCTGACATCACTAACAGTTTTCGAAAATCATACTTTGTTCGTTTTTATTATTGTGTAGAAAGCATACTGTATATTTGTAATCCCTGAATAATAATAATAATAATAATAATAATAATAATAATAATAATAATAATAATAATAATGCATTGATACTATGGTTAGATATTTTTATTGCCTGTTGTAGGTTTTTTCTTAGCTAGTTAGTTCTCTTTTTGCAACACAATGGGATATATATATATATATCTTTGGGGGTTTTGAAGAGATACCTATCTAGATATATACAAACCATATGACAGTGACCACATATTGCTACTGCCGTATTTTATTGATAAAAAAGATGAGAAAATATAACGTCATAATGAGTCTGAATTTCTTTTCTTTCGCTTTCATTTATTGAGCAAACCATAAGTTTAGTAATCACAGGTAAATGATATGAAAAGTGATAATGATAATTATCAGTCCATTATCCCTTTCACAAAACATAGTAGCTATTCGGAGACAGTAACTAGGGCGATAACGTTATGACGTCTGAAGAGGACGGTCCCAAATAGGGCTACATGTGCGTCCTTGATGTTACTGTTAGCCCTTATTCATCTCTGCTTATAATTCTGGTGATTTATGGCAATATCGAGGCAATCCACATAGAATGTGCACACACCAATAAGAGAATAATTAATTGCAGTCGTAAACATCACTGGGAGGATTCAAACAATCAATACAAAAATGGATAATTATCAACAGTCTGAATATTCTTTGAATTAGAGAATAAATCTTAGAGTCAACATTTAAAAATAGTTAAGTAAATAACATGCTGGGGAATAATAAATCAAGGATGATGATGACCAAATATGGGGAAATATTCAAACTATTATCTCCCAGACATCATATTCAATATTTTATCTTTTAATCCATGTAATCCTACTGTTCTGAAAATATAAATTGAACTACAGTCGCAGAACGTTTGAAGCTTGCGTTACGATCACACGGTATCTTTTAAAAAGTGTTTTAATATCGTTCAATCCTAGTTTATAACAGATTAATAACATCAAAATGAACCCTCCAAGTCAAATGGGTCGACTGAAGTAAAAGGAGCCCGGAGAAGCCCTATTTCTTCAGATAATAACAATTCGGTTATTACCTACACCCCATGCTCTGCAACTCCTTTTGAATCAGATAATATTGGGAGTAGACGTATACCACATCTGCTGATGCATGACTCAATCTCTAATTTAATAAGGAGTCCTACCTCGAGATCAAAAAGTATCGATAATATTAAGAGTGAATTGGACACTATCTATGAGCAATTAAGCGATATGCGTTCTAAAGTGGAGTTACTTGCGGGCTCTTTATTAAAGCATGATGATATTAAGCAAGAATTAAAAACACTATCACCCATTAAACCGCTATTTTCAAAGAATGTAGTTCCTGCGGAACCCGAAGACAGGATCAAAGCAGAATGTCTTATCGGTTTTATCGCTAGTGAAGTTACTAAACGAATAATTTCTCGAACTAACGTGATTATTCATAACTTAACTGACAAAATCGTCATTAAATCTGTAAGGAATTCTATATTAAAGGCAGCTAACCTCCAAAACAGTCCATGTCAGTCAGTCAGTTACAACGTAGAACTTCGTACGTAAGTACATCAGTTCGAGTTACCATACCACATTAGCACAGAGATGATGTTGTCGATTCAAATCCGATAGTGGTAGAAGTAGTAAGAGTATAAGTATTATGTGAAAGATAAGGGTTTGAAGATATTGTTAAAGGAGTATAATACGGTGAGATAAATTTGGAAAGAGAAAAAGGATAGAAACATGAGGAATTCAGAGGATTAGAATTTGGTAGAACACAAAGAGTGGATGCACCTTCGCCATTGCAAACGATTTTGAGCCATGTCATTCAAGGTCTCTAACCATCGGTTGCTATCATCTCGCGAATCCCAACCAGGTATTCTACACCTACCAACATGGCTCAGTCCATGCCAGTGTATTTGACTTAATAAGAAGCATCAGAAATACTCAGGCCCTGTCTTGTTTAGATTCGATTCCCATTTATTAGCTGTACAGTTGAAAAAATCCGAACGGCTAATCTGCACGCTTACGAAGTTTAGAAACGCTCGTATAGTCTCAGGTAAAACCACCAACCAAAGACTTACGCAAAAGCGTACATCAAACTAAAATAACATTATTGAGATCACAACAAATCCCGTTGCATCAGCAGCTGAACCCACTAGTGCAGCTAACCTATATCATGTTAGCCAGTGCACTGATTTACCAATGAAGAGTGCTAGTCTGCCTCTCATGCCTGTAGTGACCTCAGATAACCAGTGTGTATCTACTAGGGATACTAATCTTATATTTTCCAGTGGAACACTAGAAGCCCATAACCAAACACCTGGATTCTAATGTGAAGGCTTTTAAAAACACTGTTAAAATTAAAAGTCTATACCAGGTAAGAAGAAAGTATATACAAAGCCTTCTGGTTCTAGACCAAATACCATAAATATTACAATGGCCCTACCAAACAAAAATATACTTTCCGAAACCATGCTTCACCCTACTCATTATAGGGGAGGTTATAAAGGCACACTTATCCATTTCAATAAACGCACTAAATCAACTCAAAATGTTGATATATCGTGCATCCTGTATACGACTCTAAAACTATAGAAGACCTTTTCAGTGGTATTTTTGCAAATGGCAAATAATTCATGAATGGAGCTGTTTTAAGAGTTATATGCGTGACTAGTAACTCAATAAAATCTATATCCTTCATATGCTTGAAAATTAGTAAGGTTATAAATACCCTTAAGGTTTCAAGAGGTCACGGAGCAGACGGGATTTCATAGTTTCTCTACAAGTATGGTGGTCCGGATATTCCACTTCTTCTTCTAAAGCTTTTTACTCTCTCTAAAGAAATCAGGTTCTTACCCCTACTGTTGGAAAGTCACGTACATCATACCACGTTACAAATCTGGACTGACATGAACAATTATCGGTCGATAAATGTTACTCCAGTTATCTCTAGAATTATGGAATAAATTATTAGTGACAAACTATCCAAGGCTCCGGGTGTGGCCCCCTAAGAAAACCACCTGCTTCAGTCTGGGCACCTGGGCAGTATCACAGCCCTCATACAAATCGAATGAGATTTGTGAGGAGCATATTTATCTGGTGCTCCTTTGTACCAATATTTGTGTGTTTAAATAAATAAAAATAAAAATCCAACTATTTACTCACTGAAAAATTTATCGATGATATGCAACATGGATTTCTTAGAAATCGATCTTGTATGACATGTCGCTTTGACTTATTTAATTTAGTATATTCTCTACGTAGCCAAAAATATCTAGTATTAGTGCTATACCTGGACATTTCTACAGCTTTCGACATGGTCAATCACCAACTTCTCATAGGTAAAATCGCATATTAAGGGGTTCAAAACCCTTTGCTTGGTTGATTTGATTCCTTCCTCAGCAACCAACATCAAATAGTTAAAATTAATTCGCAATTCGCATATCGTCCTCCTCTTTAACAACATACTAGAAAAAACACGTACAAATTAACTTACCCAACCACACAACAACTATCACATTTAATCCTACCCACCTAAATATGGATACACAAATTTATGCATTAAATAGACTCATCTCTAATATAGATGACCTAATCAAACTTAATTTTATCTCCAAGTTTTTTGTGTTGATTTATTCCATGAACTAATAAGCTCAAATGAACTTGAATGAAATAAACTATCTATTCTCTAAAAAAACCCAACTTGAACAAACATATCCAAAATAGGTCGTAATGATAAACCAGCTTTATGTACTTTCAAGGATAATAATCCAGGATTTATATGATCACATACTCCCCAATGGGTTCAATCATCCCATCCTTATATGGATTACCGAAAGTACATAAAGCTGGTTCCTCATTAATTCAATTTGATTTCATTCATTTGGATATGATAATTATATTAGTGCTTATTATGTTATTATTACACTTTAGTTTAGCACTTTTTACTTTTCTTGACCTGAAAATAGTTCATTTTAAATACAGATTTTATACGTTTATTAACATAGATATGAAATTCTTTGTACAAATAAGTGTAAACTTACTTTGCCAGATTTAATTATGAAGAATGTTTCACCAAGTTCTCCTTCACGTATTATATATTCACCAGGTTCATAAAACACCTTTATTTTAAAAAAAAAATCGAATTAATAATGAAACAAATGTGGGCGGAATTTAATGGAGGGAGGAAATATGAAGCCTATTTTGAAAGTTTATTTATTCATATAGGCCGTGAACAACTGTTATATAGTGAGTAGTATCGTCCAAATAGTATAATGTATTTCTAGGTGAAACAGCATAGTAAATGTTTTGAAGAAAATTTGCTTTGATAAATATGTAATTTGAGAAAAAAAATCCCTTGATTTTTTGTAGCGTTTTTTTAGCCAGTTGGTTTTCTACGGGATAGGGTCGCTAACCCCATGCCCAACCCTCCTACTTTACTCGGGCTTGGGACCGACAGTAGCCCCCGGAGGAGCTAAAGGCGGAGTTCCTTAATTTCTTTAAGTTGCCGCATTTTTACTTTCATGAGATATTATCGATTTTAGGATTTAACAAAAAAAAAGAAAAATAATCTGCAGTACCATATCGTACACAAAATGTAGCAAATACAAAACTTTTTTAAAACATTTTCATAAGACTACTAAATCTTATTTCAATTTAAAGTATTATAGGACAGTATAATATAAAATCTTCTAAAGTCATTTGATTTTCTACTTGAACAGTATAACTAATGGAATAAAGACGGTTGAAATGAAAATACTACTAGCATGTTTAACAGATATCGATCATGTAACTGGTTCCATTTATGAGTTTTAATAAAGACAGAACAACAATTGAGGCTGTCTCACTTGTTGTTGTGGCCTTGTTTAAATATCAATCAGTTATTATAAATGCATAAGTGTTAGCTTTTTGAATGACTCAAATTTGTTCTAACCACAGAATACTTTTAGAGATTATTATTATTATTGTTATCAAGTCATATAAGAGTAATTCTTTAACAATTTTAATCATTGATTACAACATCCTGACAGTATCTCAGTATACTGTTACATTCTTGTGTACTGGCGAGACTGATAGCAAAATTAATATTATCTTCATCTTAAAGTGATTCTTCACATGTAGATCATCAATTGGTGACTTATAATTCATTTTAAAAGCACCGACTATACAGTTTGATATGGAATTTATACAATCGATTTTCTATATAAGGATTAATATGCTTTTGAACGAAAAAATAACGAGTAAAAAGCTTATAATTAACTAGTGTAACTTCCATGTCATAACATAAATGGTATAATAACAAATAAGAACACCAATGATTCTTGCTTGATCTTTGCATAATCCCTTATCATTTGATATGAAATATATGAAATATATCATTTTATAAGCTATTCAGTAAGTTTAGTAGAATGATTACTTACTTACTTACTTACGCCTGTTACCCCTCGTCGAGGAGCATAGGCCACTCATCAGCATTCTCCATCCAACTCTATCCTGAGCATTCCTTTCCAGTTCTTTCCAGTTGCTATTCATCCTTTTCATATCGGCTTCTATTTCCCGGAGTAGTGTGTTCTTTGGCCTTCCTCTTTTCCGTTTCCCTTCCGGATTCCAAGTTAGGGATTGAGTCGTGATGCACATTGATGATTTCCTTAATATATGTCCGATCCACTCCCAACGTTTTTTCCTAATTTCCTCTTCAGCTGGAAGCTGGTTTGTCTTCTCTCATAAAATGCTGTTGCTGATAGTATCCGGCCTATGGATGTTGAGTATTTTTCGTAGACAACTGTTTATAAATACTTGTTTATAAATACTTGTACCTTCTTGATGATGGCCGTAGTAGTTCTCCATGTTTCAGCTCCATACAGTAGGACTGTCTTGAGGTTCGTATTAAAGATTCTGACCTTGAAATTGGTTGAGAGTTGTTTTGAGTTCCATATGTTCTTCAATTGTAGAAATACTGCCCTTGCTTTGTCAATCCTTGCCTTTACATCTGCATCCGATCCTCCTTGTTTATAAACGATGCTCCCCAGGTACTTGAATGTTTCCACCTCTTCCAGAGTTTCGCCATCAAGTGTGATTGGGTTGGTGTTCTCCGTGTTGCATTTGAGAATCTTGCTTTTTCCTTTGTGAATGTGGAGGCCTATCGATGCGGAGGCTGCTGCTACATTTGCTGTCTTCATCTGCATTTGGTCGTGTGTATGAGAGAGGAGGGCTAGGTCATCTGCGAAGTCCAAATCATCTAATTGATTCTGAGAAGTCCATTGTATTCCGTATTTCCTGTCAGATGTCGAATTCTTCATAATCCAGTCAATCACCAGAAGGAAGAGGAATGGGGAGAGTAGATAGCCTTGTCTGACTCCGGGTCCTTACTGGAAATGCATCTGTCAGCTGTCCTCCATGCACCGCTTCGCACTGTAGTCAATAGCATGAGTTTTGGATAATGTTGACGATCTTCTGAGGAACTCCATAGTGTCGAAGAAGTTTCCACAATGTTCTCCTATCCACGCTGTCAAACGCCTTCTCATAGTCAATAAAGTTGACGTATAGTGATGAGTTCCACTCAACTGATTGTTCAACGATGATCCGTAGTGTCGCAATCTGGTCTGTGCACGACCGATCCTTACGGAATCCAGCCTGATGATCCCTCAGTTCGGCGTCTACTGCGTCTTTCATCCGACTCAGCAGCACTCTGTTGAAAACTTTTCCTGGTACTGATAACAAACTGATGCCTCTGTAGTTCTCACATTTGCTCAGATCTCCTTTCTTTGGTATCTTGATGAGATATCCTTCTTTCCAGTCCGTTGGCACTTGTTCCTCTTCCCAAATCTTCTTGAATAGAAGGTGAAGCATGTTTGCAGTTATTTCAATGTCTGACTTCAGTGCTTCTGCTGGTATATTGTCAGGTCCTGCCGCCTTCCCACTTTTGATTTGTCTGATGGCCATCTTGACTTCTTCGATCGTTGGTGGAGTGACATCTATTGGAAGGTCTGTGTGGGCTGCTTCGATGTTCGGTGGATTCAATGGGGCTGGTCTATTCAGCAGTTCCTCGAAGTATTCTGCCCATCTTTTCCTCTGTTCCTGAATCTTAGTGATTGTCTTTCCTTCTTTGTCTTTGACTGGTCTCTCTGGTTTGCTATATCTCCCTGCCAATTTCTTCGTTGTATCATATAGTTGTTTCATATTCCCTTCTCTTGCAGCTTTTTCCGCCGCCGTTGCTAGTTCTCCCATGTATTTCTGCTTGTCGGCTTTAATGCTTTTCTTCACTTCCCTGTTTGCTTCTGCGTAGTCTGCTTGTGCTTTGACTTTCTCTGCTCGTGTTCGGCTGTTGTTAATTGCTAGTTTCTTGTTCTTCCTTTCTTGAAGTTTGTCCAGGGTTCCCACAGAGATCCATTCCTTGTGATGGTGCTTCTTAGGACCAAGAACCTGCTGACACGTTGAAGTTAGTGCTTCTTTTATCCCTTTCCAGTTGTCCTCCAAAGTGGTTTCTTGTTCTTTCAGTAGATCCTGTAGAGCTTGGAACCTGTTGTTGAGAGTTATCTTGAATTCATGGAGTTTGTCAGTATCTCGAAGGAAGGCTGTATTAAACCTTTGTAGTGCTGTTTGTCCAGTTGTCCAGTCTTTCTTTAGCTTCAGTCTCATCTTGGCCACAATCAGGTGGTGATCTGAAGCTATGTCAGCTCCTCTCCGGGTTCTCACATCTTCCATTGATCTTCGGAATTTTTTGTTGATACAGATGTGATCAATCTGGTTCTCTGTGGTGTGGTCCGGTGAGATCCATGTATCTTTGTGTATGCGCTTGTGTGGGAATATTGTGCCGCCTATAACCAATTTGTTGAAAGCACATAGGTTTGCAAGCCTCTCCCCATTTTCATTTCTCTCTCCTAGTCCATGTCGTCCAATTACATCTTCATATCCTGTGTTGTCCACTCCAACTTTAGCATCTAGATCTCCCATAAGGATGGTGAGGTCCTTTCGTGAGCACTTCTCCATAATTGATTGCAGCCTTTCATAGAACTGATCTTTATCATCGTCGTTGCTATCATTGGTGGGTGCATAACACTGGAATGATTCCTTCAATCTTATTATCAGATATGTAGTATAGAAATTAAATATTTATCTACTAGTGAACACATGTTTTCTGTACACGTGACCAGTACTCTTGTTCATCTATCCTTATTTGTAACGGTAAATTTATTTACATAATTTATAATAAATTGAAAAAATTGTATAGTAAAACAAAGATGCTTATCATTTACTGATAGGGAATGTCAGTGGATTATTTTGAAACCAATGAAACAAATTAGTATATACATATATTTTAATTACTAACAAATTAGGCAACAACTAATAGTATTTTATTTCTAATTATATCAGACAAAAATTGTGTATTCATATTCGTTTGTTACTTTTTCACATATCCAATTCTATGATAAAGATTCAAATGAAATAACAGTTACAGATCAAGGTAACGTAAAGATGATTTGTTATTGCTTCCTTCTTTTGTTAAAAATATATTTGAATTTATTACATTAAACTGTATAATACAGAATAATTAATCAGTCACTGAAATATTTTATTGTTATATTTCTAGTTTATAAATATCTGAAATCATTATGACATTAATTCATTTGGGCTATCGCCCCAAAATACCCTGGTACGGCCGAGAGTGGGGAAAGTCCGCTCTACTTCTCCAAATGCCACGCGTATATAGCCTATGACAGGAAAGTCCTACTCTCTGCCATCTCGTGGCATTATTGGTGTTTACGAAATTGAGAGTACAAAAAGCGAATGTTGGGCGCTTTCACCGGGTTGGTCGAAACAGTGAGTCCTCCTAGGGATTTGGAAAACCCTCATTCCAAACCAATGGTGCACATGGACTCCAGTATTCTGAGGGAACAAATGGCGTATGAATCAATCGTTAGTCACCGGCTTCGTGGGACTGCATCTCCTCACGATGCTCCACTGCCTTGTGGATCAGATCTTTAGGTCAAAGTCTCCGCTTGTGGCCCTCTAAGAAAACCACATGCTTCAGTTTGGGCACCTGAGCAGTATAACAGTCCTCACACAAATCAAATGAGATTTTTGTGGGGCATATATATCTGGTGTCTCTTTGTACCAATATTTATGTGTTAAAATAAATAAAATTATATAAAATTTGGGCTATCTAACATAAAATACAAGTTTATTATGCTTTGGATTTTTAAAAATTATTCTCTAATAATTGGGGTAACCCTCTGTGTCAATGAACGCCCCCGAACGCTCTGGTACGACCGAGGGTAGGGATAGTCAGCTCACCATCTAAAAATGCACCCACATAGTCACATGTATATAGCCACTGTCAAGGAAGTTCTAATGACTGCTTTCTCACGGCAGGAGTGTTGTTTATAAAGTTGAAAGGATGAAAAGCGAATGTTTGGTGCTTCAACCGAATTAGTAGGTATGGAGGATCTACCTAGGGGAGTTGAAAAACCCTGTTTTCAAACCAGTGGTGCTTATGAGCTCCAGGATCCTGAGGGAACAAATGGCGTATGAACCGGCTACCATGTGACTGTATCTCCTAACGTTGCTTCACTTCCTTGTGGATTAGATCTTTAGGTCAAAGGCTCGGGGTGTGGATCCCTAAGAAAACCGCCTGCTTTTGTGTGGGCGCTCGAGTAGTATTTCAGCCCTCACACAAATCAACTGACGATATGTGGTGTATATGTATTTGGTGCCTCCTTGTACGAATGTTTATGTGTTTAAATAAATAAATAAGCTGTCACCAGATTAAATCTAAACTGAAGTAATTACTAGAAAAATAAATGTATAGTCCATTGTTAGGATCAACTGAGAATTTCCTAGTAAAAGTCTTCCAAAAGTGGGAAAATTGTTGACAAAATACTTTGTTCAATCAACGTTCGGTAGGAACTTTCCAAAAACTTCTAGAAAGACGATAAATTGTATATTATGTCTTCATTAGACTAATAACGACCTTATTGATTTAGTATGCTTCTAGGAGCTTGTAGAAGATCGAGACCATACATAAACCCATATATATCCTGGTTTTCTGTACCTGAATTAACCTTGGAATCAAAGCTTCTTTTCATTTTTCCCATTTTCTGTCTTATTTTCTGCGCTGAAGTTAAGGTGGTCTATGGAGTAAATAGGAAGTGGTTAGAAAGTAAGTATCAAGTGTTTAAGTACCAGACCTATTAACGTTTCTTGTCATGACAATAAAATGCATTTCTTCAGTAATTTTTGTTATTGAGAATACAGAAAATGATTACGATCAACTGTAAGTCAATTTTACACGACTATACATTGAACATAGAATCTTTAAGTTTTGGTGTCGATGTTTGATCTTTAAGTTGATATCTGATTGTTTTCATAAAGGCACTAGTTTAGATAACAAACGAATTCTACCGTTTCAGTTTACAGTCTGATCTTTTGGTTGTATAGATCAGCTTTAGGGAAGCATTCTATCCTCTGAGGCGAAACACTGAATGTTGATGAACAAAACATTTTAATAAGACAAAACATCTAACTGATAGATTCAAAACAATGTAAAATCAAGTATAGTGCATCGTGTTATGTTAGTCAGCTTAAATAATATCAAGAAAAGTAAGTGACTAAAAAGTAAATTCAATTACGTTATGAATAGTGAATTAAAATAGCATTACTACCTATTCACACCTTTGAAGTGGAATATGATTGAATTTATGTAAAATAAAGTTGGTAATTATGGTAATAATTACTGGTATTATTAATATTATCAGTAACATCATAAATTAAACTTACTGGTTCTAAGACATCAGCTAGTTTCTTCATTTTCTCTGAGGATAGATCTTTTAACGCAGGGACACTGTATTAATACAGGAAAAAAGTTAGATAAAGTAAGTGAGTAAATTTGATGAATTAAGCTCCAACAATTCTGAAATTACTTTGAATATGTATTAGAAAATCAATTTTTACACATTTCTATATGAAACGTAGAATACACACACTGTTACTGGTTTATTGGCAACTTTCAATACAAATCAATATTGACCGGTTAATAATAAAAAAAGAAAAGGAAATAGATATCTGACCCACACTATCACATTTTCGTTGTTCCTTATAAAACAAAATATTAAACGATCACAGTCACCGTTAGCGTACCTTAGTTTACAGTTATATTGTCAGAGCTAAGTAAGATTACTGTATACAATGTAAACTTGATTTTAATTAATATAAATATACAAAATGATGAGAACATTATTAAGAAAATTATTCTTTGTTCATATATCAATGTTTTAGTATAATGGATATTTTTTTATAGTTAACTGTTATAACTTGTGGCCGAGTGGATGCCCTGGTAACGTATGACGTGATACAACCGCCAATCAGAGAGTAGCGAATTATCGATTGGAACAGTAACACACGAAAACCCTACTAGCAGTCTAGAGTACGTATCGGTCCTGCTTTCTGCCTAGCCCAGCCACTTAAGTACAGAACACCGACCTCAACCTCTGTGGTATGAATCATTTATTTCAAGAATACTGGGTTTATATACCAAACAGACAGACCACATCGAACCATAAAATAGAAAATAACATTTGTATAAGATTTAACCAAATGTGGCTGTGAATGTGGGAAGCAGTAATTAATAGACTAGGGATAACTCAATAATGGTAAATCGTACAATAATGGTCTACAGGTCAAAATAAAGCTTATAATAAGGGGAACATGAGTATGAATAGTTTAGTTATTTAGCAAATATACAATATAAATTATATGCACAATATTGGTCCATAAATGAATCCCAAAGTTACTATTCACTATTGTTATCGGGACATAATATCTTCCCTTTCTGAAAAATACGGAGTTGATATCCGGATTTTAAATTTCTCCAATATTACCATAAGAAAAGAAAAATCAAAATCTTAACATAAAATACCTAACAATTAATACATTAAATAGAATTTTTCAACTGTACACAATGGAGAAAGAAAACATGTTAGAAATATTGATATGACAGAAACTAAAAGTACACACATATTCTCATCCTGTTGTTATTTAAACCTGTTAAAAAAAAGTGTTTCATTTGTTAGATTAGATTTTAATATTAATCTAATAGTGAATAAGAGAAGTCTATTTATTATAGATCTATCACAAATAATAAACTAATGTGTAAAATGATATGTAGATTTGAATAGTTAATGCAGTTGTTCATCACTGTAGGTCAATACAAACAGTTGTCACGTTCATCGAAATATTCACTATCTTACTTTAATAGTTTTTTTTTTTAATAAAATGCAACCCTTTTATTTAAGAAAAGTAGATTTTATTTGATGTTACTGATTCATTTGTCATTTAACCAATTTCTTAAAGACCATAGTAATCTGATCTTTTACAGTGATAGAAACTGTTTAAATTTAGTGTTATAGCACTATGTTTGTCTATTGTTTTCTACACTTAAACTATAGCCTTTTAAAAGTATGAATTCTGACAACATTGGATGGAACTAGCTTCTTTCAGACTGAACATACTGAATATTTTAATATCTGAATTCATGAATCGATATAAGACAGACTACCATGGAAAACCTGGAAGCTCTGGACGACCGTTTCGTCCTAATATGAGACTCCTCAACAGTGAGCATTAATGATCCCGTACGCGGCAACCTAACCCACGACCTTCGGTTTCGCGTGAGAACACTTAACCTATAGACTATTGAGCCGTCATTCAACGGTGTTAATATCTAAACTTGCGTAACCCTTCACGTATTATCTGTGGTGGGAAACTGTCTCCACCAGACACGGATTAAAACCCACATTTTGATAATTTCGAATATTATCATACAATAAAAAGTCAACAATCGTTCGCCTTTGCAGAAATCATAATTAACTAATATCAACAATAATGATTTTAAACATGTCTAATATATATGTTACAGATGTACAATTTCATTTCTTAGAAAATTATAGGAAATCTTATAATTCATACTTACAATTATTCTAAATTAATTAGTGAACTATGTATCTGAATTGTCTAGTGCAATGATTTTATTGTTTTTACTAATTCAACGTTATTTCTAATGGGAAAACCCCATTAATCCTTGAGTGATTTTGACCATTTTTTTAAAACGAATAATCTATCCTGGGTTTGTCACATACTTTTTAATATAAGTAGTGTATGAGTGGTAAAATGTCCCAAATCCTTTATTAGCACTCATGGTAGAGATGGGACATACATTGCGAAAGTTATCAAACAACATCACGAGTCAATCTCTAACTTGAAATCCTGAAAGGAAAAGAGAAGAGAAAAAACCAAGGAACAAATTGTGTCGGAAGTTGGAAGCCGACATAAAAAAAAAGTTTATTGCAACTGGAATAGATTTCTCAGGAGAAAGTTGGATGGAGAATGTTAGTGGGCGGCCTATGCTACTCCATAAGAGGTAACAGACGTAAGTAAGTAAATACTGTAGGAATTTTAATAAGCTATAAATATACGAAATGAAATAAGCCAAAATGATCATTTCTCCTACAAAGAATAACACTCAGTTACACTGAATCAATGGTCGGCTAAGATCCCAGACATTCATTTAAACAAAATAAAGGATGTTTTTCGTTAAAATTATTTCGTTTAATAACTAGACAACATATAGATAGTAAAAATTTATGTTTGTTACATTTAGTTAGAAAAAAATAATTTTAATTCTATAACTTCCACAATATTACTACAACTACTACTACTACTACTACTAATAATAATAATAATAATAATAATAATAATAATAATAATAATAATAATTTAGATGTCACTACCGAATTTCAAATGTTTCCTAAAAAAGAAAAACTCTTACTAGTATAAATGTAAAAATAGTCCAGTTGAACAAATTTAATATTCCGTGTTCATTTTTTTAATCAGATATCTCGCTTAATTGAATTATCGGCGAGACTATAATTTATGGACGGCCTTTGAACGAATCTCGAGTGACCATGAGAAATATTAGCCAATCAAGTAACTTTAGTATAGAATATATATATATATATATATATATATATATATATATTATTCAGCATCAAAGAATTAGACTGGATACACTTCTTTTACATGGTCCAGAAACTTGTCGAGGTTCGAAAAAGGTTCACAGGTTCGAAAATCGCAATGCATAAGGTAGAGGAACTCATCCATATAGTTTCATAATACTCGGTCTCTGGAGCCCTGATAAAGTCACAAAAACTCTCTCAGCCTCGACCACATAGCTTCAATATTGTTTGTGTGTACTCCGGTTGTGTAAGTTTGTCATTTTTATTACGCATATATCCCTACAATACTCATACCTCTGAACAGACGAAGCTTCAGTAGCATCTGTGAATATTGCAGCCAATAATACTGATGCTTTTATTATAAAGTTCGCATCAATTATTATAATTTGCCTTAGTCTCAATCTGGATAGAGAGAAAAAAGTTCTCCCTTCCAGCAGACTTCTTCCTCTAACATATATTACATAGAAAGATAACATCATCAGCGTAGTGTGCACAAAGTCTACAAGTCAACTGATTACCGCAATTACAAATAAAGGGACTTATTAGTAGTACCATTTATTGTAGCCGCTTAATTGTCACGTCTTCTCTAAAATCCTCAGTGAACCGATTGTACATGAACATGAGGTACTGAAATTGGCGCCGTGACCTTGAAATCCTTCAAACGCTTCTGATTGGCTCGTCCATAAATTATAGTCTCGCCGAATTAACTTTCATAACTTATTCTATGTTGTAAAACATTGATAAACTAGAAAAAAAATTTCAGTATTAAATATGGTGAAATTTTTTATGATTAAATGAATATTTTGTCACATAATTTCATGTTAGTAACTAATTCAATTAAAAGGTGGATATTAGTAGGGAAAATAGATTCTTTAATACCATGTGCTTCACATATAAAGCAATTTTTTAATAGAAAACATTCAATTGTTGCGATTATGAATCAATTGAAGCTAGACCACTGTGGAAAACCTAGAAGCACTGGACGGCCGTTTTGCCCTAACATGGGACTCCTCAACAGTGCGCATCCACAATCCACTAAACCCCTTCTGATAAAAAAATTCATTTTAAAAAATTTCTTATTCATTTTCTATGTATGAAAATGTTTTACTTTATGGTGAAACTCGTTCTTTATGTTATATCCAAGTGAAAAAATAAATACGGGTAACTTCTGGGACCTATTAATGGACGATTATTCTATATATATTCCTATTGTTTAACTATTGAGTAACCAGATTGTGTATATCTATATTCGTATTAATACAAACTTCATTTTGACCTATAGATTATTATTATACGAATTACTGTCCCTAAATTATATTCAGTTTATTGATTATTGTATCCCACGTTCACAGACACATTTGGCTTGATCCTGTACAAATATTATTTTCTAATGCGGTCTGTCAGTTTGGTATATAAACTGAGTATGCTTGAAATAAAAGATTTGCATAGCAGAAGCTGCAGTTGGTGTTCTGGAATCAATTGGAAAGGCTAGGAGGACTAGGGACTACTCATACTGGTCGAACGTCATTCATTTGGCACAGTGTTAATATTAGAAAAGTCGTATTTCGATTGGTGGATAATTCACGTGATCAAAAACCGGACATAAGACAACAATAAATTACCATATGGCCTTGTTTCTTTCTTTTTTTTAAATTCATAACACATTAAGCTAAACTAGTTTCAGGAACTTTGAAAATTTGGTTTTAAAATTTTAAGAAATTTTATGCTGATAAAATAATCATAATATTTCAAATATACTTCTTTAATGTTTAGGCATAATATAATCATTGACATGATAGAAAACTAGTTTTCTGACATAATACTACCAACA